GCACGAATGGATGAATCTTTAAAAAAAAAAAAAAGCTAAAGCCACTTCCGCATGGGTTCCATCCCGCCTGCCTGCCCCTGAGGTGACCACATAGTGCGTGAGACCTCTCCTGACCCACCTGCTGCTCTGCTAGCAGTGTATTTCGTCGATCTGCCTGTTCTGCTCCCCACTCTGTCTCTGGTGAATCCTCTCACCGCCCCTGTGCCTCTGGCCTGTACCCCAGTTCTGTATGCACAAATAAGTAAATCATAAAAAAAAAAATTAAAAAAAAATTTGTGCTACAGTGTTCAACGCATTTATTGTTTCTTCAGGGAGCAGATTCCATTGTCAGTATTAGAGTCAAGTAAAGCAAAAATGTAATCTTGGTGGACCATTACTAATCTACCCTCACTCCCTCTGTCACTGGATCAACTCCTCTGCTTCTATAAGTATTAAGATCATATTCTTTCAGGTACCTCCTCTTTCCTCCCACCCTCATGGCTTATGCAATTATGAAAGTACTTACTCTGTATTTAGCCCTGTGATTAGTGCTAAGATCACAAAGACAATTAAGATCTGTTACCCTGAGCCTCCCTAGTGGCACAAGAGGTTAAGGCTCAGCACTACGAAGCTGTTGACAGACATTGCAGCATGAGTTCGATCCCCAGCTAGGGAGCTGACCCACATGATGCAGCAGAACTCTCCTGTCTCGTCTGCTGCTCCCCTCAGCAGTGTATTTCAGTAGATCTACCTGTTCTGCTCCCTACTCAGTCTCTGGGGAATCCTTTCACCTCTCCGTGTATCTCTGGCCTGTATCCCAGTTCTTGTATACATAAATAAATATATCTTAAAAAAAGGAAGACATGATACCCTGCTTTGAAGGGTTCTGTACAAAGCTGGAAATAACTGCATTGCCAAAGTATAATTATGGCAAGTGAATATTCAAGTTATTTGGAAGCTGCAGAAAAAGAGTAGTTGTATTTATTGGGCACATTAGATAAAATGAGAAAAAATTACATTTGATGTAAGTTTGAAAGATCAACTTGGTTTTCACTAGGGCAAGGAAACACTTGGGTAAATACTGGCATGTTCATGCCCAGTAATCTAGTAAATTTTAGAATATTGACAGTATGGTACAGTGTACTGTCATTGATAGGCTAAAAAGAAAACTTTTTATATTTGATTTTTTTTTTCCTTTCTGGTTAGAGGCACTTGTTTCTCTTTATGGTTGCTTTAGAAAAATGTTTACTTGCATGCTTATAGAGACTAAGTAAACAGGCTTTTGTGAGCTCTCAGAGTATTTTGTACACTAATGACCATTGAAATAAGGGGAAGAAGCTATATAATATTCCATATTGTAAATGCTTACTTATCTAGGGAAGGTTTTCATTTGAATGCCATGTGGGACTAGGGGAAATGTATTATATACATTGTGGTATATTTATTTGTTAGAATACAAAGTAGACATTTAAAGAGTTATGAACATTGGAGCAGCACAGAAAAATGTTCATATATAAGAAAGAAGACATAATTCCTATTTGATACACTGATTACAACTAGTAGAATACTCAAGCATGGGACAATAATGTAGGAAAATGGTATACTCTATCTAGTTTGACTATAAGAATTATAAACAAATGTGTACTTAGATTAGGTAATTCTCTTACAAATCTCTAATGAAATACTGATCTGACATACACACACAGGAATGTTCATTTCAAAAAATCTCTAAATGATGTTTGATAGGGAATGGCTAAAAGTATTTTAGATTCTGTCCATGCAGTGGAATACTTGGTAGTCATTGAACTAAATAGATTTGTTTCTGTGACACTGAAAAAAAAAAAAAAAATTTCAAGATGTATTCTCTGAGGGAACAGTCACAAGAAATAAATAAATCTTCCTTATGGAAAGGAAAACAACTGTCTGTGGTATGCCTGTTAGCTTGTTGATAGAATGGATATAAACCTACTCAATGGAGTATAAACAATGGTTTCTAGTAGGATGGGAAATGCTTTTCCAGGTATGCTTGTGTGAATTGGAACTTCTGTTTTATATTATTCTGAAATGTTTTATTTTTTTTTAAAGATATATTTATTTATGCATACAGAACTGGGGGTCAGGCCAGAGATGCAGTGGATTCATCAGAGACAGAGTGGGGAGCAGAACAGGCAGATAGACTGAAATAACTGTCAAGGGGAGCAGCAGGCTGGTCAGGAGAGGTCTGCCATGACATGTGGGTCGCCCCTCTGGCTGGGGATTGAACTCTTGCTGCAGTGGCTGCAATAGCTTCAGAGTACTGTGCTTTAATCCCTTGTGCCACCAGGGAGGGCCCTGAAATGTTTTAATTTTTAACAAGGAGTGTATATTACTTTAGTAACAATTTTTACAAATATGGAAGGGAGAATAAAGTCTAGACAGTAGAGATGGCCCCCCATATTTCTACTGTAAAATGATAAAAAATGAAATGCAAACCACTTATGACATAATTACAAAAGTTGCTTTACTCTTTTGCTGTTACAAGGTGTTTGGCCCTATAAAGTTTAACTAAGACTACTACAGTGAAATTGAGTAAATGTACGACTCATTTGTATTTTGGCTTTGATTCTTTAGGTGGACTTTCAATCCTGCTGTTCTCACTAAAGCAAATATTGTCCGAAGTGGAGATGCTGCTCAAGGTGCAGAAGGTGGCACCTCACAATTTCAAGTGGGTGATCTTGTACAAGTTTGTTATGATCTGGAAAGAATCAAACTCCTACAAAGAGGACATGGAGAGTGGGCTGAAGCAATGCTCCCAGTAAGTATATATAAATGATTTTGAACTTGAGGAATTATACTATGCTTTATATTATTTTTTAAGGTACTTAAATTTTATTTAGCATAAATCTTTTGAGAATTATAGTCCTAATCAGCAGCTAGGCTCAGTTATACCTTTTGTTTTCTGTACTTGATCTTAGCCAAAAGTCCAAGAAGCGATACATACTTTTTGTTTTCTAATTTAATACAGTTAAACTAGTTTGGGAAGGTTCAAAAAAAGGACACAGTTAATACTTGTGTAAGTTTTTCAGGAACTGTATTTTAGAATGTCTTTTTCAAAAATTAAATTCTCTATATTCCCTTTGATTTGTTTGTGATATTAAAGGTGTCTAAAAAAGATTTGATATACTTTCACTTCACTGTAGTGTGGTGTTAGTTAAATTGTAATCTTTTTGACATGTGTTATGGGAACTGTATATACTGTATTAAGATTTTTTTATTATCAAATTTTTTTTTAAAGATTTATTTATTTGTACATACAGAACTGGGGTACAGGCCAGAGGCTCAGGGGCAGTGAGAGGCTTCACTAGAGACAGAGTGGGGAGCAGAACAGGCAGATCTATGAAGTACACTGCTGAGGGGAGCAGTGGGCAGGTCAGGAGAGGTCTGCCACGCCATGTGGTCTTCTCCGGGGCAGGCAGGAATCGAACTCATGTGGAAGTGGCTTTAGCTTCTCAGTGCAGTGCTTTAACCCGCTGCGCCCCAGGGAGGGCCTCAAGTTTTTTGCTGTTCCCCTTAGCAACGATAGCTTACAGTAGTTGCTGTCTGTTGAGTACCCAGTTATTTTAAGCACTGTGCTATAGGTATATATACATATGCCTAAACAAACACATGAATATATACTTACATATATACAAATTTCATTTGTCTTAGCAATATTAAAAGTAGGTGGTGGTGTGGCATTATTTTTTTAAAGATATGGAAATCTGAGGTAAGATTCTGAATTGGAATATGAACACATCTCTTCATTTTCTAAGTATTCTATCTCCCATATTAAGCATCTATATTAAACAAAGCCTTCTAGATAATTTCTATAAGGGAATTTTGGGCTTATAGTAGTCATAATTTTGATTTTGAGTCCTCCCAAATCCTCTTGATTAAAAATTCATAATGGTTAAAGATCTGAATATAAGAACTGAAATCATAGTGTACTTGCAAGAAAGTTTGGAGGATACTTCCATAGGGCATCTACCACAAAGATGTATTTGGGGACTCAACCCCAACAGCAGTGGAAACAAAAGCAAAAATAAACAAGTGGGACTACATCAAATTTAATTGCTTTTGTACCTCAAAAGACACCATCACAAAAACAAAAAGGCACCCTACAAAAATGGAAAACTATTGCATACCACTCATCTGACAAAGAACTAATCTCCAAAATTTGCAAAGTCCTTACACAATCTAACAAGAAACAAACAGTGCAATCCAAAAATAAAGGACCTAAAAATAGACATTTTTCTAAAGAAGATATTCAGTTGACCTACAGACATGTGAAAAATTGTTCAGTATGATTTATTACAGGAAAAGGCTATTAAGATAACCACCTCACCTCTGTGAGAATAAAAAACCCATATAAAAAAGAATGGGTTCAACAAATGTGGGATTGCAGTAAAAAAAGGAACTCTCATCCACTGTTTGTAGGAATGCAAGCATAGGTGTTAAAGAATATGGAGATTTTTTACGAAAATAGAAGTGGAAATTCACTAATCTAGCAATACCTCAATCATGTTTATACAAATAATATGAAAACATTTATGTAGCAGCAAATATCCACAGTTGCCAAGTTATAGAACCAACCCAAGTGCCCTTCACCAGATTAGTAGGTAAAATAACAATGAATCATGTTCTCAGTGGAGTACACAGCTCTGTAGTAAGATGAATAGTGGCATTTGGGAAGAAGCAGAGGGATCTTGAAGTGATTATGTTAAGTAAAATTTGTCAAAAAGTAAGACAAATATTAATGTTTTTAGTCATTTGTGGAATTTAAATGATCAGAAAACATTCACAGACAAATTGTAGTAGGAATGTATTTTTACTTCAGTGAAAGAATGTAATGGTACCAGAGGGAATGTGGTGGAGGGAGGTAAATGAGGTATGGCATAAGTGGCTTGGAATGTATGCACATATGGAAAAAAAAGTAAAAAAAAAAAAAAAAGTAAAAAAAAGTAAAACAAAAAAGTAAAAAAAAAACTAAAAAAAACTCCTCCACCAAAATTGCAATAGTAAACCAAACCAAACCAAAAATGTTACACATATACAAAGGGTATATAGGAGATGAAGAAGATAAGCATTTTCAAATATGTGTAGTTTTATTTGATACCATAAACATATACATATTTTATACAAGTATAGGACAGAATTAATCAAGAAATTCTTAAAAGTATAAAATATAATGAAACAGATGAACCTTAAGTGTCTTTCCTCAGTAGGAGAAGAAACTCCAGCTGATTTTCAAACATAATAGTTTAATCTTTATTTTCTTACAGGAGAAATATTTCCTAAAGACTCACATGGAAAGATAAATATTTAATGGTTTTCAGAAATTTTCTTGTTCATGGTTTTATGTTGATATTGTTAATTCTGAGATTTCCATGTGTAAAGTGAGAGATAAATAAGTGAATATTTATGTGATAATTCTGTTATTCCTCAGTGATTTTAGGAAGCCAGAATTGTCAGTGGGAAAAGGAAACACAGACGTAATGTAGAAAAGATTAAATATTGATAGAACCCTGTAGTCTTGAATTTGAATTCTAAGAGTGTTTGAATTCATGATTAATTTCATCTTTAAAATAGGATAAGATACCCCAATTTCATAACTCTGTCCATAGTTATCTAGAGTAATCATTCTAGAAACAGTGACAGAACTTCACACCCAGATAATGGTTTGAATATCCCTTCCCTCTATAAATAACCTGGGCTTGATAAATATTGATATTAGTTCTTTGACAGGAAGTATACTAGACAAACCTCATGTGAGATTATGCGGAAATTACCAAACATTACTAGGATCATTTTAAATTGATCTGGTAGACAACTTATTGAATTTCTTATCAAACACAGAGGATAGGTGAACCTGTTAAACTATACTACTTTGGAAAATTCAGATTGTAAGAGACTTTATAGGGCAAATAGCTCTTTTTTTCTCAGAATAGTTTGTAACAAAAAATGTATAAACTTTCCTGGCAATTTCATTTAAATATACAATTACAGGTGAAAACATCTAATGAGAAGTTAAAACTGGGGCCTCTAAGAAGGATAAATAGGAGTAGAGGAAGGCATTTTGGAGCCTTTGGAAACAAAATTTGAAGGTGTGGGAATTAAACTTTCAAGAAAGGAATAAAAAGTTAAGAAGCAAAACTTTGGGAGAATTAAACAGATTTAGGGATCTGAACAAGGAAAAGGAGCCAATGAGTAGAGTAAAGGAAGGAACAGGGAGAAAGATATTAACCATCACCCAGAAATCAAGGTGTTGTTCAAGAAAATATGGGCAAATGCTGTAGAGAGAAGATAGTGAAGCACACTTTCTCCTCTGTGTTAGGGAATAAGTAGTCCAGTATTATTACTCTTCGTGATTTTTTTCCCCCTAGTGGTAGTATTTACTCTTCGAATGTACTTAAGAAAAAGGGTTATGAACCTGAGTTCTTTGAGTGAAATAGGGGTAACAATAGCACTTAACTTTCAGAGTTGTATATATTAGGTAAGTCAATACATAGAAGCTCTTAGAATAGTATCCACCATGTATGTAAGAGCTGCTTCTGACTATGACCTGAATTGAGTTGCCCTTCTTATTCCATGTATTTAATAAGCATGTTATTTCTACATACTTCTGTGTTGGAATCAGGAGTGACTCCAGAAACCACAGCAATATAGATGTAAACTTGGGTCTTTTTTGGCCTAGTAGTCTTTTTTTTTTTTTTGGTAGAAGTCAGACTTTATTTTTCATGATAGAATTTGGACTATTCTCAACATTAATCAATAGCTTAAGAAAAGTTGAATGTCCAAAGCAAAGTTTTGTGAACTTTTATAAGATAGATTCATGATTTATCTTTGTTTATATTCTTGTGAAAGTATAATTTTTATTTATTAAAATACTGTTTAAAGATATAATATGTACTGATAAGCCCACCTTAATGTGGCTATCTTTTAAAATCCTTTTCAGTAGGAACAAAGTAAAGTTAATATTTTAGACATGTTAATATTAATCATTGATTTTTTTAATGGTGTTATATATTTTAGAATTGGAAACATTAACCTAATTTTTTGGTAAAGACTTTAGGTAAAGTTGGCAGAGTGCAACAGATTTATTCTGACAGTGATTTAAAGGTGGAAGTTTGTGGAACATCCTGGACATACAATCCAGCAGCAGTTTCCAAGGTGGCATCCGCAGGATCAGCCATTAGTAACGCCTCTGGTGGTATGTTTTGTATTGTGTTTTTTAAAAAGTGACATGGCTTATTAGAACCTTTGCTAGTTCACCAGTTCTCATATATAGAAAATGTTTTGTCTTGGCTCTCTCTCACTTGCATGTTAACTCACTTTTAAAGTTTCACTAAGGGCCTTTCACTGCCCCCCACTCCCTCCCTGTTTTTTTTTTATTTTCATATGATGAACATCCTTTTTTTTTGGCTGAGGCATGCCCTAGAAAAGTTCCATAAGTACTTGCTTTTTCTTAGGTATGGCAAAGGATTCTCCTTATTAAATATGAAATGGCTGAAATTTCAACATTTTATTCTAATTACATCTTTTGTTTTCTGCAAGAGGATCATCACTTTCTTAGACTGCTTTATTTTGTTTTTATTCCCAACATTATTGCCAGCTTTTTTTTTGGATATTTTTACATAGCAGCTTTATTTTTCTTTCACCATTTAATAAGAGCTACTATACATGTCACAGTGAGTAGAAAACCACATTGAGATCTGATATGTTGGCTGTTTGGGTAGATTCATGCCCAAAGTCTACTCCACCAGCTTTATATATAAAGGCATAGTTCATTCTACAACAAATTACAAGTTACTGTATATACATTGTTGTCATCCCTAAAAGAAGATATACTACAGCTATAAATAGTCTGAAAGTAAAGGAAAACACTGGGTAACCTTCAATTTTATTTTATACTGTTTTCTACTTCCTCTGCTCTGCCTCTTCTTTACTGTTGTAATTTATTAGTGTGCTTAATTTTTAAATCAGGTGCTGTTTATTTTTACTGTGAGGTTAGTTGGTAATGCAAGTTGTCATTCTGATACTGTTATTGTAGTGTGTCCATTCATAATATCTTTGGTGTGACTTCTAAATCTTAAATTGCTGTTTGCATGTAGCTTTACTTTTTCTGCAATATAAACTTGAAACATATGAATTGAAGAAAATTTGGGACTAGTTATGGGTTCAAATGTAATGCACCTTTATATGGTAGTGATTCTAACATCATAGTCAGTTACCTGTAGTACAGTACAAAAACAACATTAATGATAGAAATTATAAAAATGTCTGTTAGTATTTAAAGTTTGACATTTCCTAGCAACTTTATTTGATGCTTTACAGAAAGACTCTCCCAGCTCTTGAAGAAATTATTTGAAACCCAAGAATCTGGTGATCTCAATGAAGAATTAGTTAAGGCTGCTGCCAATGGAGATGTTGCTAAAGTGGAAGATTTGCTAAAAAGACCAGATGTGGATGTAAGCACTTAAAAAATTATTTTGAACTATGCACAGAACCTTATACTTCCACTACTAAGATTTTTGCCACCTTCATTAATTATTAAAATATTACCTCATGAACTTCACTTATACCTTCTTGTTTTTCTGAGATTTTTTAAAAAAATATGTATTTTTATTTATGCATACAAAAACTGGGGTGTAGGCCAAAGGTATGGGGTATGACAGGATTCACCAGAGACAGAATGGGGAGCAGAACAGGTGGATCTACTGAAATATACTGCTGAGGAGGCCAGAGGGCAAGATAGGAGAGGTCTGCTGTGCTATGTGGGTTAGTTCCCTGGCCAGGGGTCTAATTTGTGCTGTAGAGGCTTCCTATAGCTTCATACTGCTGAGACTTAAGCCCTTGCACCACAGGGAGTCACTTGAGATATTTAATAATACATCGAACATCATTCTTCAGTGAGTGTTGTGAAAAACACTGATTTTTTATATTTTAGCAGTGTGGTCTTCTTATAGTTGACAAAATTTACACGTTAGCTTTTTAAGTGGTTTAATGTCCTTTTATTTTTTTAAAAAAGATTTTATTATGCATATAAAAACTGGGGTATAGGCCAGAGGTGTTGGGATGGTGGTGAGAGGATTCAGCAGAGACAGAGTGGGGAACAGAACAGGCCGATCAATGAAGTACACTGCTGAGGGGAGCAACGGGTGAGTCAGGAGAGGTCTGCTGTGCCATGTGGATCACCTCTAGGGCCGGGGATCGAACTTACCCTCAAGGTACTGTGGCTTGCTTGCAGTGCTGTGCTTTATTCTGCTGTACCACAGGGAGGGCCAGTACTTCTTCTTCTTTTTTTTTTTTTTATCATTACACATCCTAGAAACTTAAAGGGAAAAATTATTTCATTTCTTCATTTCTATGAAAAACAACGTTACCTTCTTTACTTTCATTTCCTTTTCCTCAAAGGCAAACTCTTTAAAATCTTTTAGCAGATATTCTTCATATTTGCCTCTATATCTTCCAGTAACAATTCTGTTGTTATTTCTTGATTTTTATGTTTTTGGAGTCTGTTATCTCACCATGAAGGTGAGAATTCAACTGTCTTTTACCACTTTTAGCCTGTCTCCACTTCCCTGCTACTTTTTATTGAGGTAACATTGGTTTACAGCTTTGCTTATGGTAGGTTTTATGAATGGGAATGAATATGTTGGGATTAAGGAGTTACACTTAGCTCAGATTTGAACGTGGGCAAGTTATGCATTTATAAATATAAAGTATAAGAAAAGGATTATTGCTTTGTAATGTAATAGTTGTATATAGTTATCCTGCTAACTTAATTTTGTTCTTTGTGATAGCTTGTTTAGAGTTGGTATTTGGCATATTTGTTAAATTGAATTTATTTATATTGTAGTGGACAATATCTTTTCTAAAAGTTTTTTGTTCAGCCTGATTACTTTTTTCATTGAAGCATTGGTTTTAATAATCCAAGTAGAACATACAAAACTAATTTACCTTTTCTTTCCCAAAACTTCATTCAATCTTTCCTTCCTTAATTTTTTTTGGTTCTGCAGCTGGGATGGAAACATTTTGCCTTCTTTGTTCTTAAATTTGCACATTGACTAAATAGTTCTTTCATAGTTGTTTTAAACAGTGGAACAGAAATACCTGCCTCCCTTCTCTAATTTAAATAAAGAAATTTCTGGTGTAGTAGGATAGATGGAACACCAGCCTGAATTACTTTCATAGAATCATAGAATGTGCTAATTTAAATGACATTACTTTTACTTAATCTGTTCTTTTTTTATTTAGGTAAATGGACAATGTGCTGGCCACACTGCTATGCAAGCTGCTAGTCAGAATGGACATGTTGACATTTTGAAGTTACTTTTGAAGCAAAATGTTGATGTAGAAGCAGAGGTAATATAACTAAGTTTGAAAAATATTGAAAGTAAAAACTAGTGTTCTAGAAATGGTACTTGTATGCCATGAGAAATGTTGATTTTTATCATTGAAAGTTCATATTCATCTAACTAAGGTTCTTCAATTGAAAATAAAAATTTGATAAGACAACTTGAAGCATTTCTGTGATCCCTCATATTTTGGCATAACTTTAAGTGAAGATTAGGTTCAGTTTCCCTCTACTATGCATGAACAGTTGGTGGGGAACTCTCTTGGCTTCACCCAAGAATCCTACTGAGAAGTTGAGGGAAGGGAAATGTACATCATGTGGCTCAAGATTTTCCTTGGTCTGTGATACTCTTTTTCCTTATAAGGAAATCAGTAAATTGGAATTGTTTAGTCTTCTTGCTTCTTCACCTGAATGAGGACTTTTGAAGATTTTACAGTGCATGTTTATCAAAACGTGTAGTTTAGATTATGTTTAATTTAGTGTATATTCTTGTAAAAGGAAAATAATTATTTTTAATGTTTTTGGAATTTCATTTGAGAAATCTTTATGTGTGGTGTGAAGGGTGGCTTCCTTTGTTGTAGCTATAAACTTATTACCTAAAAAATATATTAGATCACATGTGTTTTAATCTCGGACAAGACTAGGAATAAGTCAAATTCTATCAATTTAAGACAACACAGATGTTTGTAATTTTGTCTAGCTGACATTCTTATCTAAAGCTGATTTCCTGTGGGTGAATCAGCCTAATTTTACTAATTGTCTTTTTGTGTCTTTTTTTTTTTTAAAGATTTATTTGTGAATACAGAGCTGGGGTACAGGCCAGAGGCTTAGGGGCGGTGAAAGGCTTCACCAGAGACAGAGTGGGGAACAGAACAGGCAGATGGACGAAGTACACTGCTGAGGGGAGCAGCGGGAGGGTCAGGAGAGGCCTGCTGCGCCATGTAGTCACCTCTGGGGCAGGCAGGAATCGAACCTATGCGGAAGTGGCTTTAGCTTCTTAATGCTGTGCTTTAACCCACTGCGCCACCAGGGAGGGCCCTTTTTGTGTGTCTTTTATTGACAATGTTGGCTAACAACATTGTATATTATTTAGGAGAATAGGTTTACACCTCCTCAGATGTATGTTATCACACAACCCACCGCTAAAACATCAATATCGTCCACCATTGTTAATTGGGTTCCTTTTCAGCTTTGGTTTCCACTCTCCTCCCTCCCCAGTGGTAGCCTCAGTTGTGTAGTTAGATTTCTAAGGTTTGTTCTGGTTGGGTTTTTCTGTTCTTTTTTTGTTTCTATAGATGATACATACAAATGAAATCATATTTGTCTTTCTGCTTCTGACTTTTCTTAGGACTTGATTAGCATAATCTTCAGTTGTATTTATGTTGCTGTGAATAACAAGATTTCATTATTTTGTTTAGTTGGATAGTATTGCATTGTATATGTGTATACCACATCTTAATCTTTTCATGTTAATGGTCATTTAGGTTATTTTCATAGCTTGGCTGTTGTAAATAGTGCTGCAGTGCACTTAGGAGTACATAAAGCCCTTTGATTTAGTGTTTTTGCATTCTTCAAATAGATACCTAGAGTAGAATTGTTGGATTGTATGGTAGACCTATTTTTAGTATTTTGAGACACCTCCATCTTGTTTTTCAAAGGGGCTAGAGAGGTCTACATTCCCGCCAAACGTGTTTTGAGGGTTTTCCTCCACAACCTGGCCAATACTTAGAGTTGGAAACTATAACCTACACACCAAATCAAGCCTTCTGTTTGTATCATGAAGTATTAGAGAGTACTTTTGGAACACAGTAAACTCATTCATTTACTGTGTATGGCTGCTTTTGTGCTACAGTTGCAAAGTTAATTGTGTAACTTGTGACAAGAGACCATATGTCCTATAAAACTTAACTACTACTACATCGCTCTTCACATAAAAATATTTTGGTCTCTAGTATAGATGACTTGCAGATTTTTTTTTTCTTCAGTGATTTAAATTGTCAGTAGTTAAAAATACTTCTCCAGCTAGGCAAATATTTTTTTTTGTGTGTGTGTATATATATATGTTACATTATGCTTTTCAAGAATGTGGTAAGATTACATTTTTTTCCTATTTCTTCTTTGGGAAAACTCAGAAAGCTACCGTGGAAAATTTATTGTTTCTGTGTCTGACATACTGGGTACGGTAGGATTATATTCTGTTTCTTCCTTAGTATGTAGGTAAAGACACTGAAGATTATGAGATCTTACCTATGTTGATACAGTTTAATTAATTTTGGATCCTCCAGCAACTCAATATATTTTTCCCCTTTGATGAAATATAGTAGTATAGAAGATTGAATGGGAGACCAATTTTAAAAAGTGTGTTCTTCACAATTACTTTTCAAATATAGTGTACTTATATTTTAAGTTATCAGGAAGCTTGGAGTTGTTTTATCTTTTAAGGTTAATGAAAAATGTTTTAATGAAGAACATTAATAGTAGGGAGTGATACTAAACTTTCTCATAAAGCCTAGGTTTTAATGGTATTATTGTTGTCTGAAATGATACTGGCAATATATTTAATCATTGTTTCAGTTTACTCCTCTATGTTATAACTTAATGGTTTGGAATGTGGAATATGGGAGCTAACTAAGACATCATAAATAGCATACATCACCATGGCAATTTGAGGTTGTTATGTTTGTTTTCATTAAACATTTTTTTTTCTAGTTGATACAAGCTAGACAGTATAGTTCTCAAGAAATAGATGCTAATTCTGTCTGATTCTCATTATCTAGTTAATGAAAACAAAAGCGTGGAAACATTTTATGTAATGTAAACTGAGAAGGAAAGGGCAAATTGTCCTCAAAACTCATTAGTTTTAAAATTTTTTTCTTATAAAAATAAGTCAATATTCAGAATAATAACCTCCAAAATGACCATCAGAATTAATATTATAATTCCTGGAAATCCATGCTAATTCAGAGTATAATTCCCAGTCCCCTAGCCCATCATGCCCTCCAAAAATCTGGCACTATTAAAGAAATGAATAGCAGAAGAAAGGCATGTATGATTTACAAGAACAAAAAACAATTTCAAAGTTACCTTTTACAGGGATGCACTCTAAAAGCCTGAGGTGACCCAAACTATAAAACATCAAGTTTTATTTTTTTTATTGTCTGATTTATCAAAACTGTTTTTTTAAATTATTACAAAAGTTTATTTTTACATCATTTTGCACATTTTTTTTTTCCATCTCGATAGTAATCCCCGCGGGTTTCCCATCACCAAATCACCCGTGTGCCACCACCATAGTCCCGTGCATTTCCCTCCCTTCCCCCCTCCCCTGTTTTTGATCCCATTCCCCACTCCACCCCCACAAAATGTCTCTGGTATATGGTTGTTCATTTTTTTTGTTATTTTCTCGCCTGGTCCATTATACTCCTGCTATGAGTGAAACCATCCGGCATTTTTCTTTCTCTTTCTGGCTTATCTCACTAAGCATGATCTTTTCCAGCTCCATCCAAGTTGCTGCAAAAGACATGTGTTTCTCTTTTTTGGTTATTGAGTAATATTCCATTGTATATATGTACCACATCTTTTTTTATCCATTTATCTACTTTTGGGCATTGGGCTGCTTCCATGTTTTTCCAATTGTGAATAAAGCAGCAACAAACATGGGGGTACAAGTATCTTTTTGAATCAGTGTTTTTGTGTCTTTTGGGTAGATACCTAGGAGTGGGATTGCTGGGTCGTAGGGAAGCTCCATGTTTAGCAGTTTGAGGAACCTTCAAACGGTTTTCCATAGTGGTTGTACTAGTTTGCATTCCCATCAGCAGTGCAGGAGAGTTCCTTTTTCTCCACATCCTTGCCAACATTTGTTGTTGCTAGTTGTTTGAAGATGTGCCATTCTCACTGGGGTGAGGTGGTATCTCATGGTGGTTTTAATTTGCATCTCCCTTATTATGAGTGATGTTGAACATTTTTTCATATGCCTGTTGGCCATCCTGTACAGATTTTAATGCAATCAGAATGCCAGCATTTTTTAATTGAAAAATCTTTGAAGTACAACATTACTTATTATAGTTGGGAATAATAAAACATTTGAGCTAATTTGCTAAGAATATCAGTGGTTTCAGGAAATGTTTAGTTAGATTGATGTTAAAGGTCAAGACATTTGGAGAGAGAATTTGAAAAAAGTAAAGTAGGAAATACTAGGAATTTGTCTCCTCAGGCGCTATTTTAGAACTCTGGGTTTTGTTGATGGTTTGCTACTTTTATGGGGAAGATTTCAAGGTTAAGTTTGGTTAATTGTGGATTTTAACTACTCAGGAAACACCTATACCTACCTCTAGCCAAGAGGCAGGTAGTGTGTATGTATTCCTGGATTAATTTACCAGTAGTCAGGGTAGTCAGTAAAGACCCTGATCTATAAATATTGAGATCTGTGTTGTGATTGTTGATTGCTCCTTCTGATTATGTGTTGACTGTAGACACAGAAGTGGGCAGCCATTGTTGCACTTCCCATTGTTGCAAGTTCTCTTCCTTTTGGCTGAAGTGACTCTGGAGTATTTACTAGCTAGTGCTCTACATTTTTTCCTGTTTCCTCTCTTTTGGGGACCTGGCATTAAAAATTAGGCCAGCAAAAACACCTGAGTGTATGAGGGAAACGAATAATTTCATATGCAAATAACTCATCCAAGAAAGCAAAAGACTTGAACAATGAAAACTATAAAATATTGAAAGAAATCAAAGAAGACATAAGTAAAAATGAGCATATCCCATGTTTGTAGATAAGAATAATTGATATGTCTAAAGGTGTCAGTACTACACAGTATGATTTACTGGACTTCCTATTGAAATCCTAGCTATCTTATTTGCAGAAATGGAAGAAAAGATTTATTCATACAGAACTGGGGTACAGGCCAGAGATGTGGAGGGTGAGAGGATTCAACAGAGACAGAGTGGGGAGCAGAACAGGTAGATTGACAAAGTACACTGCTGAGGGGAGCAGCGGGTTGGCCAGGAGAGGTCTGCCACACCATGTGGTCACCTCCGTGGCAGGCGGGGATTGAACTCATGCAGAAGTGACTTAAGCTTCTTAGTGCTGTGCTTTAACCCACTGTGCCACCAGGGAGGGCTGGAAAAAAAACACTCTTAATTAAATAGGTCATCTCAAAGTATTCTGACGAGCTAAAACCATCTTGAGAATGAACAAATTTGAAAGATCATTTCAAAACTTATTCCAAAGCTGCAGTAGTGAAAACAGTGTGATACTGGCACAAAGATAGGTATATATAAATCTCCAAAATAGACTAGAAAGTGAAGAAACAAAGTCTTAATATATCTATGGTCAGATGATTTTGATAAGAGTGCCAAGACCATTAGTATCTTAAGATAAAGTCCCACTTGCTTCACCAGGAAATTTGCACACTTGGAAAATCCTCTCCAAAGTCTGCCCTCCAATCAGGAACTTCAAATTTTGAAATGTAGAAATCATTAAATTTGAAACTTCACAGTATAAGAAAATATCAGTAGAATAAAATAAGAACCTATGAAATAGGAAAAGATACTTCTACATCCCATATTCAATTAGAGGCGAATCTCCAAGGTATATATGGCCTCCTTGGTGCTATCACTATTGTAGCCCAAGTTCAGTTCCAGCCACTAATCCACATGTGGCGCAGCAGACCTCTCCTGTCTCGCCTGCTGCTCTCCCCTCAGCAGTATTTTCAGTAGTCTGCCTGTTCTGCTCCACACTGTCTCTGATGAATCCTCTCACTTCCTGCACCTCTGGCCTACACCCCAGTTCTTCTATGCAACAGTTTCAACAGAGTTTTTCAACAGAGGCTGCTGGGAAAACAAAGATATACAAAATAATGACATTGAACTCTTATCTGACACTGTATGTAAAAATTGCCTTAAAATAGATAAAAATCCTAAATATAAGAGCTAAAACCAAGAGACTGTTAAAAAGAAAACCTGAAGGCCTGAAGTGTATGGCATTGGATTTGACAGCAGTTTGTTGGGTTTAACACTGAAAGCACAGGTAGCAAAAGATGGAGTAGACAAATTGGATCTCATGAAATATAAAAGCTTCAGTACAGTACAGTAGGAAGTATAACACTATTTTACTGTGTATCAACAGTGAAGAGATAACCAGTGAAATGGAATGGGGGGAATATTTGAAATCAGATATTTGAAAATGGATTATTGACTATATAGATGTTATATAGTGAGCTCTTGAAACTATGTAACAAAAAACAGACAACCCTATTAAAAAATAATTTCCAAAGAAGGCATCCAATATGAAAAGATGCTTAACTTAGCAAATTATTAGGGAAATGCAAATCAAGACCACAATAAGATATTGCCTTTCACCCATTAGGATGATTACTATAAAAAAGCCTCTGAAAACAATAAATACTGGCAAGGATAAAAAGAAAATGTAACCCTCATACACTGCTGGTGCCACTGTGGTACCTATATGGTAGTTTGTCAGAAAATTAAAAATGGAATTACTATATGATCTACCAATTTCATTATTGGTTAATATCTAAAAGAATTGAAAGAAGAGTCTTGAAGAGATATTTATGGCAGTCTTATAATAACTAAAATAGAAACAACCTATTTGTCCATCTGTTTATGAATGGTTAAGTATAATGTGGTATATGCATACAATAGAAGTTAGCCTTAAAAAGGAAGAAAATTCTGATTCATGCTACAATGTAGATGAACCTCTTGATGGGCTTAAAAGTTGTAACAAAATAAATCTATTGCTAAAGAGGGTTATGATATCACCTGTCTAGACATACAAGTATATGTTTATACATACTCATTAAAAAAATAGAACTTGTTTTTTGGGGGGTGTTTAAATGTGTTGTTGCACAGAGGCACAAGAGTCAAATCTTAAATCTTTCATGTATTAGTTTCTCCAGTTCCTTTATATTCAAGGTTGACAGGTAGCAAAAATTTCTAACCTGGTTTAGCTGGAATATTAGAAGGGTAAAGTACTCCTGAGTTGTGGTTTCCTTCCTTTTCAGTAATGATTGTCCAATTAGTGTGAATTCTACATGAGAGGTTTTACTTTTAATTTGAGAAAATATGCAAAGGCAACACTGTTTTGAATTTAGCAGTTGTTTTGAATGAACTATTCATTTGTTTTACATCTTTTATCACAACAGTATTTATCTGTGTTATTGTTGAAAATTAGGTCAAATAATTCTGAGTACCATATGAATTTTTAAACCACTTGAAAAACATAGAGTCCCCCAAGGGGTAGGGCCATGTGCTTGGATCACTGCTATTGACAAAGTCAAAAAACATGCTTACTGATAACTGTTAGAATTTGAGACACATTATGGAATAAAGACATTATTATACTTTTTTCCATCTGTAGCTAAAAAGTAATTAACTTCATTTTGGAATGAACTATGTGTGTTATCTTCATGGTGTAGACATTTGTTTTCCTTTAAAAAGTTGTTTCTTACATTTGAAAACAAATTTAAACTATTTGGTCTTTATCTCTCATCTCTTCAGAAATATGCCTAGAACAGAATGTGGGGCATACCTGTTGGATTCTTTTGAAGTAGTTTTAGAATTTCAAATGTGTGGAATCCTGCTGGTTTGTGTTTCATGTTATCCTTTAAAGTGGTAATTAATAGTATTTTATTGTTCTTTTATATACTGAAACATATTTGCTTACTTCAAGAGACAACCAGTATTAACCATGTGGATATATTTTACTCCCTTGAGATCACAATGTTTGGAATCCTTTCTTCTTTTTTAAATCACTCAATTAATGTTAATATAATTTTGATGTCATCTAAAAGTCTTTGTAAATTTTTTTTAAAGATTTATTTATTTATGCATATAGAACTGGAGTACAGGTCAGAGGTGTAGGGGCAGTGAGAGGACTCACCAAAGGCAGAGTGGGGAGCAGAACAGGCAGATTGACCAAAACACATGGTTAGGGGGAGTAGCCAGTGAGACAGGAGAGGTCTGCTGTGTCATGTGGGTCACCTCCTTGGCCAGGTATTAAACCGGTCCTGAAGTGGCTGTGGCTAGCTTTGTAGTGCTGCACTTTAACCTGTTGCACCACCAGGGAGGGCCCTGTAAAAATTTTTATGGAAAAAAGATTTGTATATTTTTATCATAATTAGACATTTTTCTAATGTTGCTTTTACATCATGTCTAACAATTAAAAGTTAAGAATGATCAAACTATTTCTGATGCTTATAATGGCTGGTCTAGTATATGTGTGACTTAATATATTGATCTAGGTTAATCATTTATCTTTGAAGTTAGTCACTACTCAAGTGACTTTTCTAGTTTTTTGTTTGACTCCATTCTGTTTCCTTTTCTGACATTAATCTTGTTCTTGATGAATTACTATAGCTTCAAGTTTTGCTTTTTATTTCTAAAATACTTATTAATTCAAATTAAAATACTTATGTTTAGGATAAAGATGGAGATAGAGCTGTTCACCATGCAGCTTTTGGAGATGAAGGTGCTGTCATAGAAGTGCTACACCGAGGGAGTGCTGATTTGAATGCTCGCAACAAGCGCCGACAGACACCACTTCATATTGCTGTCAATAAAGGTCATCTTCAAGTTGTGAAAACTTTATTGGATTTTGGCTGTCATCCCAGTCTCCAGGTAAAAATTTTAAATGAATGTATTTTGCCAGTATTGCTAGAAAGTGGATTATGAAGCTGTGTTAATCCTTTGTTATCAGCTTTTTAAGTATGATCATAGGAAATGATATCAAAAGTATAAGATATAATACCTTTGGCAACTCTTCTTTCTTAGGAAAACTATAAAAGAAACTGTCAATTGGCTGGTTTTATATTGGCGAGTTAGGGATGGTAACTTCCTTTAAAAATATTCAGCATGTGCCCACTTAGGTATCTACCCAAAAGACACAAAAACACTGATTGAAAAAGATACCTGCACCCCCATGTTTATTGCTGCTTTATTTACAATTGGAAAAACATGGAAGCAGCCCAAATGCCCAAAAGTAGATGACTGGATTAAAAAGATATGGTACATATATACAATGGAATGTTACTCAGCAACCAAAAAAGAGAAACACATGTCTTTTGCAGCAACTTGGATGGAGCTGGAAAAGATCATGCTTATTGAGATAAGCCAGAAAGAGAAAGAAAAATACCGGATGATTTCACTCATAGCAGGAGTATAATGGATCAGGCGAGAAAATAATAATACTGAACAGCCATATACCAGAGACATTTTGTGGGGGTGGAGTGGGGAATGGGATCAAAAAGGGGGGGGGAGGAAAGTACACGGGACTTTGGTGATGGCACACGGGTGACTCAGTGATGGGAAGCCCACGGGGATTACAATTGAGATGGAAAAAAAAATGTACAAAATGATGTAAAAATAAACTTATAAAAAATATATAAATATGAAAAAAAATTCAGCATGTGAATATTTATCATAATACTGAACTTCAAGTGTTTAAAGAAGTATAGTAGACTACATTTAATAATAGTTTTAATTTTAGTTTAATTTTTCTTAGAGTGTTGGCCTAGTGATTAGTCTAGTCTTGGGAAATTCTCTGGTTTGGGAAATATATAGGATTTTAGGGTTAACTTATATTAGAGCCTAATTTTGGAAGCAAGAATCATCTAAATAATGATTTTTTCCCCCATTTATAGCCTTAGCAACCAGATGAATTAGATTGGTCTCAGAGAGGTAAAACAGATGAATAGGAGTAATGGCCGAGGGCTTGAGAAGAAATGAAAGAATCCAAGATTCTGTTCAGCTAAAGGGTAGTTAGAGGTTAATATTTTTGAGGTGCAGAAATTTTGGTACTGACAGGGTTTGGAATAGATGTTAGGATTGAAGGATGAAAGAGAAACTGAGGGATATTAAACTATTAAGGGAAAGGTAATGTATGTGTATTTTGAGGACCTGAAAGGGAAGGCAGAGTCATTTTTTGAGAGAGACTAGGGAATAGTAGGTATAGAAAGTGTAACTGAGAAGAGTGTTACAGGTTTGAAATAGCTATTCTGAGAACCAAAAGGCAGAACAGATTAGGTCTGTAGAAGCTTATTCCAACCATATTTAGTCATGTTAGAGAATGTGAACTTTTGGTGTCACCTAATAGAAGTGGGGTGATTGGAATGAACTTGATGTGATACATGAATGGAATTGGAAAACTTTTTCTGTAAAGGGCAAATAATAGTTTAGCATTATTATTATTTTTTTTTTTCACAACTATGCCCTTATCCATGCTACTGTCTTTGTAGTATGAAAACAATCACAGTTAATAGGTAAATGAATATGTGAGGCTGTGATCCAGTAAAACTATTTACAAAACTAGGCAGGCAGGCTGGACTTGGCAACATAGATTAAGCCATCTTTGGCTTTACTGAGGGTATTAATTATTAAAATGAACTACCCATTTATATAGATGGTTGGTAATGAATAACAACTTATTTCTAAATCCATTGATAAGTGAAAAAAGTTAGTTTGGAGAAAAATATAGACTGAGGCTGCTAAATTTTATTTTATGTTTGTTTTCATGTTGAGTTTATTAACCACTTGTCTGCCCTTTGAAATGTTTAGATTGAATTTTTTAATCTCAACTGTGACTATACAATATATTTAGCTGGGGAGGTCTGAAAATCTATGCCAGGATCTTATACCCAGAAATTTTGGTTTGTTTAATTTGGAGAGAACTTGAATATAGGGATTTGTAAGAGCTCCTTAGCACAGTTTAATGTGCAGTCAAGATTGAGAACCATTGCTGTAGGATTCTCCTCTGACTTCTCCCCTCATACATAAACTGGTATAGGTTTTGTATGGAATTTCAAGGTGTAACAGTTAGTGGTAGATATATGGTGTAGCAGAGCATTTTAAACTAATGATTTTGGGGGGATAGCTTTTTACCTCATTAATTTTTTTCAATTAACTGAATTGATTTTTTCCCTCTTTGGAGTGCTACAGTATTTTTATTATGTTTTCTATCTAGATATAGTATGAGTTTATTTACTATAATTAAGTAAATGTTTTCTTGCCTCCTTTTAAAAAAATTTAACACGGCATGTTTTATTTATAGTTGTTGTATGGCTTTTGTATTTGATTAATAGTTCAGTATAAGTATTAACATTACATGTTATGATTGATTGAAGAATTAACAAAAACCTCTTTAAACTTAAAAAAGGATTCTGAAGGTGATACCCCTCTTCATGATGCAATAAGTAAGAAACGTGATGATATCCTGGCAGTTCTCCTGGAAGCTGGAGCAGATGTTACTATTACAAACAATAATGGGTTTAACGCATTACACCATGCTGCACTCAGAGGAAATCCCAGGTAAAGATTTCATTTACTGTTTTTTATGCTATTTAAAATGCTGGTTTACTTTCTGAAACTGATGAGGAAATAACTTGACTTCTTTTAAATTTTAAGTCATTTTAGGTTTGTGGAAATTATTTCTTCATTAAATAGATTAGTGTTTATAAGATGACATTTTGGTTGTCAAACTAGTGTAAATACTATGAGATAACTAAATATATATTAAGTATGAATATAATGTGTCAGGAATACTTGCCTTTACCTAAAGATTTAATTTATATTTATTCCATTTTGAGATTTGTATTTCTGTAGTTCTCAGGGCATCCTCTTCTTACTCCTCTAGTCCTGTGTTAGCCATTTACATGGTAATTATGTTTTTAAACTTGTGACTAAATAGCTATTAATTTACCTAATTCTTTCTTTTTAAAAAAGATACATTTTATTTATTTATGCATATAAGAGCTGGGATGTAGATCAAAGGTGTGGGGAGTGAGAGAATTCACCAGAGACAGAGTGGGGAGAACAAGTGGATACACTGAAATACACTGCTGAAGGGAGCAGTGGTAAGACTGGAGAGATCTGTGCCATGTGGGTTAGCTCCTTGGCTGGGCATTGAACTTGTGCTGAAGTGGCTGTGAATAAAGTCATAGTACTGAAATTTAACCGCTGCACCACCAGGGAGCCCTTTAATTCCCATTAGTAATTTAGTTATATAAGCTTCTAGCATAGATAGCTCTCAACCACTGTTACAGTAATAGATGTTTACTGGAAAAAGTGTTTGCTGTTTATAATTTTAGGAAAACTTTCATAAGTCACTGATTTTTATAAAGGATCTGCAGAGTCCTGCAGAAAAGGAAAATGGCTAGATTTGTCTAACCTAGAACTTTCTGTAAGCAATTTCCCATGAATTCTTTTTCTTTGGTTTCATATTGCATCTTTATATTGTTTTATTCTAATTTTGAACTTCTTTTTAGTTTCTTATTATCAGCACCAAAGGGTGACAATAGAAAACAAAAGGATTTTACTGCTCATTGGTACTTATAATAATGTGTATATAATGTAAAATGAAATGGATGATAGTATTTTAGATTATGTCTTGATTTGTTTTTTCAACTTACAAGTACTTTGATGCTTTATACTTGGGCATTGTGAAGGAGACAAAATCGTATTATGTAATTTTTGCCTTTCAAATAGAAAATGATGAGAATATCTACCACATGCGAGGCTTACTATGTGGTTTACGTACTTACTTAAAACTTGACAACTTAAAAAAAAGATTAATTTATTTATACATACAAGAGCTGGAATATAGACCAGAAATGTAGGGAGTAAGAGGATTAAACAGAGAGAGAGTGGGGAGCAGAACAAGCAGATCAACTGAAGTACACTGCTCAGAGGAGCAACAGGTGAGACGAGAGGTCTGCTGTGCCGTGTAGGTCCACCTCCCTGGCCAGAACTGGTGCTGCAGTGGCTGCTGATAGCTTCATAGGCTGAGGCTTAACTACTTGCGTCACCAAGGAGGCCCCCAAACTCAACTCTGTGAGGCAGGTGTTACTATTCTTATTTTACAGATGAAGAACATGAACTTCAAAAAGGTGAATTTACTTATTTCAGATCATGCAGCTAATTAGTGGAGCAGCTGGAACTTGAACAAGGATTATCTGACATTAGAGTCAGCTCTCAATCACTTTATATTACATTTTCTTTTCTAATGTGAGGCCTAATGGAAACACAGGGACACTGAATTTAAGAATACATACATACATCACTTCCTCTGTCTCTTTGTTTAGAGTTATCTTTGATTACTTTCATTCTCAACTTTTAATTATTTCTAAATTTCTGTTTATTTTACATCTTTCTAGTTCATTCTATTTTTATTTCTATTGTTACCGACCTAATTACGTACTCTTCACTTTTGCATAGGTTATTACAATACCTAATTGTTCTCTCTGATAAGTGTTATCTCTCATTTTTTTATACATTTTCCAAATTATCTCAAAAGTTCCATTCTCCCGATCCCAAATTTTCAGTTGCTTCCAGTTGTACACCTTGATTTGTATATCTATTATATTCTAATCATATCTAATATATTTGGAACCTGCATTTCTACCATTGTCTACTAATAAAAATTAGTAGACTTTACCCTTCAGTTAAATTACAGTATTTTCCTCCATATAATTTTCTATCTTCTTTTCTGCTTCTTGTATTTTTTTCATCATCATGTCCTTATTCCCCTCCTTTATCTTAATCATCTTTCTTCTAGAACTCCTAGATCTCATCATTGAAAATATTTTCTATTTGTATTTTTTTTTCTTTGGTGTTCTTATTTTATTGTACATATAGTTTGCATGGTACTGTACATTAGTTAAAATTGTGGGCACTTTTATATTTACCTGCATGTACCCTAAAGCATTTTGGCTTTCTTAGGGACTTAATAAATGTTAGTTTTAATTTGACGTATCATTTAGATAAGGCAGAATATTATATGGTCAGTTATAAAATAAATTCTGTAGAGAAACTATTAAGAGCTCAATAGAGCAATTATTTCAGTATGTTCAAAAAGATGTTATTGAGATTTAGGATATTAAATCATGAGGATTAAGATAAACTGAAAATTACAGTGTTTAGGAGCTGAAAAACTTAAATATTTTGAATTGTTTCATTTTATTGGGGGTAGATACAGTATACTTAACAATGCTAAAGTTTATACAAAAAAGGAAAAATAGCTACTTGTCTTTCTTCAGGTTTTGCATAGATTTTTGAGAGATCATTGATGCCAGGTGACAAAATAAACATACAAAAAACCCCACATTACTACTTTCGTTCTACAGCAGGATGGTACTTTAAAACTATGTGACTTCTTTAATATTTTTTCTGTAGAACATTTTAGGTAGTTATGGCTGTATATTGCCAGATAAGAATATGATTTTAATTGGACAATGAAAAATATTAGAAGGTACACAACTAACATGTCAGATGTAATTGCAAGTTGTATTAAGTTTTTTAAAAAATATTAAATTTCTTAATAATACTGGCTTTTTTTGTGCTTACCAGTGATGTTAAAAACAGAAGAAATAATTTTTGGAACTCACAATTTTTTAAGTTTTTGTTGTTAACACTTACTTGAGAAAACCTTATATAGTACATTATTATTTCTAGGCCCTGATGAGCTTAGTATTTTTGGATAAAATCTTAATTACACTTCATAAATGTGCTACTATTTCCCCCATTTTAATAAACATTTTACAGTATATGTAACACTGAGTCTGTATACCTTGAATTTTAACTTTTAAATTTAATTTTGTAAGCTTTGTTTGACACTGCCTACAATTATATTTTTTAAATATGTGTGGCTTAACCATTGAACTATATGTATAGTCTATTTCAATTGCAGTTGCTGGCACTTAGTGTAATTCTTAGCTATTTTTAGGTTTTTTTCTTCTACTAGAATGTATATAATTTTCTAACAAAATAATTCACATCATGGTGAATATAATTTAATGCCAGCTCAAATATTTACTTCTTTATTTTGATTAATAATATGGAAGAGTTTCCATGTATGTGTGTACATGTAGAATTTAAGTATCATTCTTTCCTCTAGTTTTGTTTTTAGTCAGCCACAGTATTTTTTTTTTTAGCAATAATAGCACAGTAGAACTAATTATTGGATGTGCTTTTTTTTTTTTTTTAAAGAGAATTCCTTTTTGCTGGTTGTCAAAAGTATGTCTAGATGTCTTGTGTTTTTTGAAGACTATACTTTGTAATTTAGATTTCAAAACAACAGACTACAAAGTTATCTTAATGTTTCTTAATTGTATGACTAACTGAAATAAAGATGAGAAAAAAGTTATTCTCTTTCAGAATCGTAGCAGAGAATTTACATTTTGCTGTCAAAACTGAATACTGAATTTTAGAATACTGAAATATTCTGAATAGAATACTGAAACTGAATTTTAGAATAATAGTTATATTTAATTACAGTATTTTTTCCTTAAGAGACTTTAATAAACAGTACTTTTTGTGTATTCTGATATTTGACATTTATAAAAATGTCTTCCCTAGGGTTTGGACATATTTTCTTTTGTATATAGATAAAATTTCAGACTTAAATGTAAGGCAGAAATCATTTCTGTTGTCAAAAATGAAAACCCAATTTATTTGAATTAGCATTAATCAGCACATTACCTTTTGTGAGGATGTTTCATTTTTACCCGCTGTTAAGTTTCTAGAACTCCCTCACAGACAAGAAGATAAATTCATATTTTCTGCAACGCTGACAAAAACAATTGATGGGTATACTGGAAGTACCAATAACAATATTATAAAGTCACTTTTATTGTGTTATTTACACATTTTCCTTTAATATAAATTGAATGTGATAAATAACAGTAAAATCTGGATTAATTTCATGGTGTGATACCCTTTTGTTATGTTTTCAGGTTAACACTGAGATAGATAACTTCACGGGCACTTACTACCTTATCTGGTCATTCCCATAAAGACACATAGCTAAGTCTTACTGAATATGTGAACATAAGTCATAATTTTCTTTCTGGGATGTTATACCTGTATTTATTAAATTCGGGAAGTAAAACTGCTTAGTATAGGTAGAATCAATAATTTGGACCAATTATCGATGTTTAACATTTTCTGCTTGATAGTAAATTTTTAGTATGTCTATATCTGTGCATCTACTTTCAAATACTATGTCTTATAATACAAAAATATACAAGACTAAGATATAATTACAAGAAAACCTGTTAATTTGAATGAAGTAATAAAATGTGTTTACATATACTTTCCTTTGTTTACATTCTTTTAAGGAGTGATCTTCACTTGAAATAGAGTAGAAGTTAGGAATTGAGGATTGAGTGAACACACACCTAGGATTTTAAACTATTAGCCATCAGTAACCCTTCATTAGTTGATGAACTATTTATTTATTAAAGCATACTAATATTTATAGTTTTATTGCAGTCAAAAAGAAAGTTAGAGGGATGCTTGGTTACTTGTATTTTCCTTTTCATTTCCTTTCCACTGAGAGAGGCTTGTTTATCTTTTTTAAATGAAGGATAAACATGGTGGAGTAACAAAAACCTTAAAATGTTATTACAAGAGATCTTCATTTTATAGCCAAGGAAATAGTTACAGAAAGGTGAAATATCTACATGAGTAAAAAGTAATTTTTACCATTAGCATTTTCTTTTCTTTTTTTTTTTTTTGAGGGTAAAAATATTTGTTTAGTGTTGGAAGAATTAGATACTATTTAAATTTCTTCACATGATTTTTGCAGTATCATCATTTCCTTTTTTACCTTACCGATCAACATTCAGGTAAATAGCAGTAAAATTAAATGGTAATCCTATGGAAGAGAATGATGCAACATTTCTAGAGTTTTATTTTATACAGTGTCATCTTTTTTCTTTAAGATAGGCAAATGTCCATATGATCCAACTGTCACATTCCCATTATGGTTCTGGTGGGTTTTAGGTAACCTTCCCAGATACTTTCTTTACAAGGAAGGTTGCTTTTTATTATGTGCATAGCCTATAATGTATTACCACTTCTTTTTTGAAGGATAAAAAATTAATACCAAGAGACCATAAATAAGTAAAATTATTTTATTTGAAATCCATAAGTCATTCACACCTTTTCATATAGTTTTTTTTAATAAACATCTGCAACCATTATAGATCTTCCAAGTAGGTAAGAGTAACAAATTATTTGAAGTACACAACAATCTGATAAGTTGAAATTAGCTGATATGTGTTTGATATTCGTTGGTTGTCCTGTAGTAATCAATGCATAGCTACAGCTGGTTGAAGGGGACCAAATCCATCCAACAGCTGATTTGGTTCCATTTTACCAGCTCTAGCAAAGCATTGCAATGCTGCTTTGGGATTAAAAATAGTTAAAATGCTTTTAGTTTGTAAAAGTATGGTTATGAGTCTTCTACAAATGAAATTCTCCTATCAGTGCTTTTCTTGTTGAGTGTAAAATTTTCTATTTTGAAGACATTTTCCTACTAAAGAAGTTTTTACTCTTTAAGCTGTTAGTACATTAAGGAAATATCAATGTACATCTTTATTTTTAACACCTTGTTTAGTTCTTACATTTAATTCTTAAATGTAGACAATATCATGTTTCAGAGCCAACAACAACACGTAAAGTAACACATAGACCTTTATGTATTTCAGAAAAATGTTTTCTATAATAAGCAGTAAATTAAGTAAGCAAATAGTTTAGAGAAGAGGATTGCTATTCACATCTTTTTGCTGATGCTACTGTTTTTTATTACTATACTTAAGGACTAGTAGCCAAGTCGCTGACAGGGGTGAAGGAATATGAGTAGCCTTAAGAGAGTGCCTCTGCCCTTCAGTTTATAAATAGGTAATGTGTATTCAGTGTCTTGCTGGACTTGTGTTGAAAGAAACTGTCATGCATGCCAAATTTTTGCTTTGTTTTTGCATAGGTATGTATGTAGTGTTTCTAATCATAGGTTAGTAGTTGAACTCTTTTAAGGGTTTGTTTCCTTGAGTTCATTTGGGTGCAGATTGCTAGCTTACTTCTCATTGTCAGCTTGTGAATGCATTGACTTGTGGTGTGTAGCTAGAATCCCTTAGTTTGAATATTAAAATCTACCTATAATACTTTAAAGCTCACTATAGAAAATCATTGTTACAATGTGATTTTACTGTTGTATTTCAATATCAGGGGAAGGATGTCTTCTGAAATATGATTGCAGAAGGTGAAAGTTTGAGAAATTATAGTTTGCCTATAAAGTCAGAGCTCTCAGTGAAATATAAAGAATAAGGCAATAGTTACCATTTTGAACTAGACTGGAAGAGGTTTACACTTAATTCAGTCAATTTGTAACAGTTCTTATGTTGAATATATTACACATTTATTGGTTGGTAAGTATCATGCTGCAGGTGAAATAAATATAACTGCAAATCTTCCCATCATTTATTCTAGTAGATGTGAAACAGGTGTTAAATTGCCTGGACTTAAGTGCTGAAGATAGCAATAAAACTGACTTCTATTTTTACTGGTTATATGGAAACTGTTTAGCAGATCCAGTTGCTCAAGTGTGTTTTTGGATGGCAGTTCACTTTCATACACTGGCCATATCGGGGCAAGGAGAGGCCATGGAAAAAAAATAGTACAACATTTGATAATGTCAGCATCTGTTATCCTTGTCAGGGAGACAGTTGAAATGTTTGAGTTACACCAGTGTCAGCAGATGCCTAGAGTTTAATATGTACTCTCTTAAAAATGAACAGCTGACCTAAGTGATAGATGTGACATTTTAGAGTGATTGAAAATACTTTTAGACGTATTAAGTTAAACTTGTAAACACCAGAATCAGTATATAATTTTACTTCTAAATGTGAACAACACATGCTGTCATTTGTTTCCCAAGGATTAGATATACTGTTAATATTGTAACAAGATTCAGATATACTGGTAATATTGTAACAATCAGATTCTTAATTGCTGAGCTGTATTAAAAACTTTTATACCTATAGAATAACAGGTATAGTTTTTCACTGTAAAACACTGTGAACATAGTAAGACCTGTGGCATAGTTTTATAGCGAACCCTCTGCTTTTGAAGCATATATTTTCAGTTTTTGGCATATAGGGCCAGTGCAGTTAAACTTAACAAATTGAATATGAAACATTGATATTCTGTTTGTGGATAATAAGAAAGAAAGGCTATGCTTCAGTGAGTTACTGCTTGAACATGGTTTTTCTTTGAAAATGTAAAATTTTAAACTTATAGCCCTTTTATAATTTCCAGTAAACATACAATATCTTTTATATGCTGTCATGTTTAATAGTCATTTTCATAATCTATCGACAAAATAATCTGACAATTAACTTTATCTAGCCTTAGTAAAGAGAAAAAAGATCAATTATCTTATACCATTTCTGTTCTACTTGTATCACAACAAAGATTAGAAATATTTTTTATGTATGTCTAAATATTCAAGCTGAAGCAATACTTTGAATAAGCAATGTTTAGAATATATGAATTTAGCATTTTTGTCTAAATCTTAGAGCTTAAAACAGGTACTGTACTGCTTCTAAATGACTGCTAAGAGTTTTGTTATTTTTATTAACATTATGTAAAATAAATTTTTTATGTGAAAACAAAAAAAATCTGATGTACTATAGTGGGTCTATCATATTTATAGAAATTGAATTATAATTGCATAGTAACTATAAAAGATTCTATCTGTATAGATTGGTTTCTTTGCAGTAGTTCTTTCACTTTATGTTTCCCCCTTTGGAGGAAGCATATTCAGGAATAATATAAGTAGTAAATTAATTTCTGTTAAATATTTAGCAGTCTGTTACCACTGTACCTGTTGATACATAGCCGTAGCTCAGAATTTTCCCATTTTTTCATGCAAAATCTTGTATTTTGATTTATTCTGTATATTAACTTAGCTTTTAAAGTGGAGACTAGTATAAGGACCTGGTAAAGTCAGTTACTTTTTTTTTTTGAGAGTGGAATTTTACTTCAAAGATAGTCTTATAACTATCAATAGATTTCAAAAAAAGAAAAACTGAAACAACAAAACTTCATAAATTGATCTAATAATAGATTATAAATTTATCAAACCATGAAGAACAGTTGTTAAATGAAGTCAGCTTTTGTTATATTTTGTTTTTTCTTCAGTTGGTATGACTAATGTAGTATTCTTAAAAACAAATTGTGGAGACAGAAAATAGATCATGTGGATCCCCTCATTCTTTTGCATTAGTAGTACTGGATTTTCTCTTTTGAAGTCTAATTTTAATCATGTGAATACTTGATTAAAAATGTAAAAGATAGTATGTTTTAAAATATAAAAGTTGTAAAAAGAGTTCCATGATAATTTCAAATCTACTAACGTTGAACTTTTTTTTTTTTTTTGAACAAAATATGAATCTTAGCCACATTAGTTTCCATCTCTAAGATAGTAGGTATGCTTTTATGGTGTTAGTGTTGCTAAAGGTCATCTCTTTGTGCTAAGTTAATTTAGCATATTAGAGTCATTCTCATAGAAAGAAGCAAAGGCTTCTTGTCACTGCAGTTTGTTTCCCTCTTGGTGGTTTATTGCCTACCAAAAATACATACTTCTTTACATTCCATAGCATTGTATGTTCATATGGGTACATAAAGAAGTATGTACTCTGAGTAGGTGTTTACTAAGTTGTTAGCTGTAAAAACATGAACTGTTTTATTTACCCATTTGTTAGTAAAACATTCAGCTTATTGATGTAGAGCAATTTGCAGACACATAAAATTTTAATAAATTACCTGAAGTAAGCATCAGTGTCATTTATAACTTCTTGTTCTTGGTGAATATGGATACTTCTAAATGTTGAACAGTTATCAATATCAATATCTGTTGAACTTTATCCTCGGCTTGATTTCTTTTTGTAAGAGATTCATAGAATTAGTGGAGTTTCACAGAGTATTTCTCAGAAATTGTTAATATCAGCTTAGTGTTTCCATATAGTCTTCAGAGTCAGTATCTTCATATTTTATAGTTTCTTCTAGATCCTACAAGTTAGATAATAATTATTTTGGTGCAGATTCCTTTTACAAGCTATATGACTTTATTAAAAAAAAAACTTCAGCAGTTAAGCAATAGCAAATATTGACTTAAAGTTGAAATAAAAAAAAACAATTTTCAGAGTGTAAGTGAACTAAATTTTTAAAGGTGATGAATTTTTATTGTCTTTTTTAAGGTGAGAGCTCAAGATCACTTGAAAAAAATTCTTTGTCATTTTTTTTGTCTTTATCAGTTACTTACATGAATTTTGTACTTTGATCTTTGTGTTTGAATACAAATGAAAATAGGTGTATAAATGCATGCTTTTGGTGAGTTTAGTTCTTTTACTCTTTTAAATGTAAAAGATAACAATTAGGACAGTCAAGTTTCACAGTCTAGAAGGTATTAGCTAATGAGTGCTTGAGTTTTTGCCTGATCATCTAGCATGAAAAGAAGATGTAGTTGGTGAGTTGTTCTTATTATTGTATTAAAAGGTTAATTTCCAAGAAAACTTTAAGGGTTTTTCAGATTTGGGAAAGGAGGATAAAAAAGGCAGGTAAAGTAGAATTTCTGCAGTTTGAGATAAAAAGCTAGTGCAGCTCGTAGAGAGCAAATCAGAAGTCATAGCAGCGGATAGCCCAGTACTACAGCAGTTTCAGCAATGCAGCATTAGAATTTCACCCTGCACATCCTGATTTATTTTTGTGGCCAACTAATAAGAACATTAAAAAGTACTTTATGGTCTGCTAAGTTTCTTGATTTACTAAACCTTGAAATAGACAGTTAATAGTTTTTAAAAGATAGCTAGAATGTAATTTCTGTAGATACAAAGCATTTAGTCTGAAACAGTAAATAATAAATCTTTAATAATGTACATGATAGTAATGAATCTGCACATTTTTGAGATCAAGTTATCTGTCTTGATTTGAACAGCATTCCTCTTTACAGTATACAATTTCTTTAACTGAAATCATGCTGTGCCCAGATAGAATTTAACAATAAAATCATATGTCAATTCAGTAATACGTAGCAATTATACAGAAGTCGTAAGCATCTTTAAAAGTACAGTTCTTGTGGTGCAGTTACCTTGTGGTGCTCTGTTACTTAGTGTCATGCAGCATTTGTAGTAGGAAGAGAGGTAAAGACCTCTAGACCACACCAGCAGCAGCCATCTCATCGTGATTGTTCCTTCACTCTGCTGATTCAGCACTTCTCTTCATGAGCTGGGAAAAAGTAAGGGGGAGGCATTAGTAAATAAAGAACTTCACCATTTAAGATAATGTGAATAAATAAAGATAACAGTGAATAAATAAAAACAAAACCTCCTCCCCCCTTCCTTCCCATTGCCTTAAACCAAATAAACTATAATAAAATTGAATCAACATTGGTCACTTGATTTGAAATGTCATATTACCAATATTATACCGCTATATGAGTACCTTGTATATGCTGTACAGAAAGTTCAGCAACCAAGGAAGGTTGCTAACAGTGACCAAGAAAATGAACTTAGCTTCTTCCGCAGATGAAACGTTTCAGAAGAGGGGAAAGAGTTGCAGGATACATAAATTTTATCATCTAAAAAAGACAAAAGCCAAACAACAAAACACACCACTCCCCCGAAGTAACTTTAAACATTCACCCTGTTTTCATCTGCCCACCAGAATACATTGGGTTCTTCTGACTTCTTGGGAAATATTCTGCATCTTTCTTGCTTTGAGGTTTTTTTGTTTTGTTTTGTTTTTAGTTTCCAGGATTAAGTGGTAGGTCTTTATTGAAGCTACCTTGTCATATCCAGAGGTCAAGTCTGCAGGCAAGGTCAGGACTTCCACATGGTCACTAAAGAGATTAGCTTATATTCTTCTCTCAGTGGCCACAGGCTAAACTGTTACAGCTTTATAGGCAGCTAAGCATTTGAAACATGCACTCCCAGGCAAACAGGCTCTCTTGTGCCTCTCTCTTCCCTGACCATATTTAGTCAACCATAGCAAAAAATAGTCTCCCAGCTGTCGATTGTCGATCCAAAAGCTGAGGAAGCCTGTATCTTGCTTTCTGCCTATTGATTGTTCATCCTGCGGTCCAAACACTGCTTTGCCATTTGTCCTTTTTTTTTTTTTTTTTTTTAAAGCATTGCCAAATAAAGAGGTCTCTCATGTTTCCACTTACATTTCCCAGATTTTCACTGAGCTTGCGCCTAGACTAGGAAAGCCTGATGCGGCTGTCGCTATACTTAGAAGCACTGCAGAGAAAAAAGGAAAGGGGAAAAAATATTACGCTGGCTAGTAGCAAGACAGCCTTTGGACAGATATGGAACAAGTAATCCCTCTGTTGCCAAAATATATTTCATAACCTGATTTTTCAGTTGGTGAAAAGTGTTACGGATGATATTTTATGTTACTTAAATACTGAAAGGATTTTATTGGATTTATCTTTAAGATTGGCTGCTATTATATATGCTTTTTAAATTTAGTGAATAAAGGGAAACAGATACAAATGATAACTAAAACCTGTGTATTGAAGGTGGAGAGAAGTAATTAAGAAAGAGTAGTGTATAAATGAAATCTTGGAAATGCTACAAACAACTGTAAATTCATTATCAAATTCAGTTTTTGTAGTGTGTAGGTAAAAAATGGTCTGGAATGCTTTTGAATATATGTTGAAGCTATGTGATATAGAAGTATTAACATGCATTTTATTAGTAAATTTTATTTAATTTTCAAATGTGACATTTTTTCACTCCCTTCTACATTAACATTCCTCTTCAGTTTTCTGAAATAGCATTGTAGGCAATTCATTTCACACTTTTCAACACACTTAGTTGTTAACTACTCTATAACTTTGCCATACTGAGTATTTCTCAAAGGAAAAATACTTTGCTTTAAATTTTAGTAGCACATTCACAATAAATTTTAATAAAAAATATAACAAACTTCAACAAACTTGTAGAAGATGACTTTACAAATCTAAAAATGCACAAAATCAAATGTACCTTGTTCTTAATTCAAATTCTTAAGCTTTGATTCATTTGAGAAATGAGGAAACCATTAGTTTTTGAAGCTCATTCTCTTACAAGGGAAGTTGTCCTTGACATTCTTTTTGTCATTAACATTTAATACCATACCAGTTTAATTATTTTGGATTGCTATTTTGAAACAGTGACCTAAATAATGCTTCTGTAGATATTTGGCAATTTTAAAGAGCCAGCTTTCTTAGATATTGAAATAATTTTATACATATTGTGAGAAGATGATTCAGAGTGTAAAATTTTCAAGTTTCTAAATTACTCCATTTTTGCTAGCCATTGCAGCAGGGAAAGTTTTTTTTTTCTTCAGCAAGCACTTACATAATAAGTGCCACACATTCTTCTAAGCCTTTTTAAATTTTCACAACAACCCTATGAAATAGAATTTGTGATTATTTCCTAACATTTGATAGATGAAGAAATTGAAGTATACAAGTTAAGTAACCTGCTCAAGTCACTAGCCATTCAACTTAATAGTGTCAGAATTTAAATCCCAACAGTTTGTTTTCAGATTCCCAGCTCTTTATTTGTTTTTACTGTGATTTGTGAAAGTTATAATACACAAAGTTATAATATCCTTGCCTCAGTATAAAAAGAAAGATGATTGTTAATTTGATTGTTTCATCATTCCTTTTATACAACAAAAACTTAAGCTCCTTATAGTGAGCTCTAGGAGAGGGGTTGGGGGTTTGTAAAGATAAGGAAAAAATGCCTTTCTGACTTAATAATAACAGAAGAACAGACTGCTTTTTTTTCTCAAATAATATAATAGTTTATTTTTACATCATTTTGTGCATTTTACCATCTGAACAGACTGCTATTTAAAGGTAATTTTAGTTCTTTTAAGAATGGTCAGGAACTAACCTGTACAGCTCTTCTATATTGATTTTGCATATCTTTCTATAGTCTCCAGATAGTGGTGTGCAGTGCGAAAAAGTTTGTTCAAACTGTTACATACTAATCTGCCTGTCCAGAAAAACTTCTGTTTGGTATAATTTTTATATTAAGTCTATGGATTCTAAACTAAATTGAAGGAGTGTTTATTAACTTAGTATTTATTGAGCATCTAATATATGCTATTGTGTTATTCCAATGTCTTTTTACATTGGAATAAATACTAATATATAAGGCATCCACAGTTGAACTACTAAACTGTTTGAAAAATGTTGCCTATTTTTGAAAAAAGATTGCAAAGCCTGGCAGGCCCTAAAAATGGATGCAGGGCCATCTGACTATTACATACCAATGTAGACAGCTGCTTGTTCCCTTTACTGCTTAGAACTCATTTGTTCATTATTCAGCAAACGTTTGCATACTTCCATGTGCCAGGGATTATGCTAGTAGGCACCAATCTTAGTTGTTCCGGAACTTAATGCCTTTTTGGCACTGTTTACAAATGCCTACCTAACTGGTAGTAAGGTCTTATCTTTAAACCATCTGGAAAACAATCAAATTGAGAAATAAAAAAGTATTTGAGCATGAGGTATCTTGTATGCTATGCACCACAGGTGATAGTTTATTTGCTTAACAAAATTACTGGTTGATTGAACTAGTAACACCCTTATCCCAGTGACTTTATGGGCTTCAGTACTCGCAGGCTAATAGCAGTCTCTTAATTAAATAAGGTGCTGCAGGAAACAGCCTGCAACTGTCCGTTAAGGATAGTACTGTGGGTTCTTGAGATGTCTGCTAATGGAAAGAAAGAAGACAAACCACTGAGAGCTGGGGGCAGAGGGTGGGGAACGGAGGTGGTGGTGGAAGAATCAGGAGTAGAGGCTGTTCTGTTTAAGTTTTCCTTAGCTCACATTGCAGGTTAAACCCAAAGATTGGCTCTTTTCTTGAGTCTTGCATTTGTATTTATTTAGTTTTTGTAGGAGTTAGGTTAAGAATTAATAGTAATTAAGATGAAAGGGTTCTATATTTGTCATCCAAAATTTCCTATATAGAAAAGAATTACAAATAATTTATGTAGATAACCTACCTTTAAAGAAGTGAAGCATATTTTTCCACTCACATGGTTATGCATAGTAACTTCCTTTTGAAGAGTATAAAGTATAATATGAAAAACTAAGCCTATATGCATTTTTCTATTTCTTTTATCTTTATACCCTTACTGGTTTATAATTTTGTAAGCTTTTCTGTTTTTCTGCCTTCTTTAGGTATGAATATATTGTGTTTTATATATTTGTACATATTACATATAGCATGTATAATCAACGGGTTCCATGCCAACTGCAATAATTTTTACAGAAGCCATTATTTTAGGTCTCGGTCTAAAAAAAAATGGGTAAATTTAAAGGAAATTTTTCCTCCCAATTGATGGGTTTTTCTCTTAAAATCTTTCCATTAAGAAAAGGAACTGATGTAAGAAAAGTTGCTTCTTTGTTGAAAGTGGCTAGCTTTTAATTTAAGAAACAGCATTTCTTGATTATTCTGCTCATCTATGTTTTAATCCTTGTTGGTCTTTAGGATAACTTTTATGTCAAAATAGTTTGTAAATTGATTCTTAAATATTAAATAATAATTACCTTTCTGTGTATTTGGATGTCAACTGAATTTAGTGCTTAAAATGACATAAAAATTTCCCCCAATTTTATTTTTTTTCCTAATTGAGTTTATACGACCCATCACCAAGGCACCTATAGTTTTCCACCATTGTCTGTTGTCTGCCATCCCTCTGGTCCTCCTCCTTTAGATTCCTCAATTCTACAGTCAGATTTCTAGCCTTTTTTTTTTTTAACTGTTTTGCTTTTATCTGCTCCTTTCTTTTGTTTTTCTATATACACATATAAGTGTCATCTTTCTCCTTCTAACTTATTTTACATAAGGGCTGGACCATCTGCATTCCCACTATGCCCGTGCCAACATTTTTTTTGTTTCTGGGTTTTGTTTTATTCTTTTTTTTTCACTGTGGGCCATTCTAACAGGAAAGCAGTGGTATTGGTATCTTATTGTAGTTTTAATTTGTACTTACCTCACAACTCACAATAAGTGATGGTGAACTTTTTTTTTTTTTTAAGATTTTATTTATTCATACAGAACTGGGGTACAGGTCAGTGATGCGGAGGGTGAGAGGATTCACCAGAGACAGAGCGGGAAGCAGAACAGGCAGATCGATGAAGTACACTGCTGAGGGGAGCAGCGGGCAGGTCAGGAGAGGTCTGCCACGCCATGTGGTCACCTCCGGGGCAGGCGGGGATCGAACTCATGTGGAAGTGGCTTTAGTTTCTCAGTGCGGTGCTTTAACCCGCTGCGCCACCAGGGAGGGCCGATGGTGAACTTTTTATGTGTGTCTGTTTATCATCTGTATGTCTTCTTTTGAGAACTGCCTATTTACTTGTCTGCCTTTTTTTTTGATTGGGTTTTTTGTTTGTTTTTGTTTTTTTCATTTTGTTGAGTTATATGGGTTCTTTGTAGATCTTTGATATCAACCCCTGTTACCTGTATGGTGTATGGATATTTTCTCCCATTGAGTAGCTATTTTTTGAGTAAGTATGGGTTTTTTGAGTAAGTAAGTATGATTTCTTTTGCTGTAGGGAAGCTTTTTAGCGTGACAGAGTCCTAGTTGTTTGTTTTGCTGTTGGAGATGTATATGTGAAGACATCATTGGACCTGAATTCATAAAGTGTTTTCTCCTTATGGATTTTATAGTGTCAGGTCTTTCATACAAGCCTTTAATCCATTTTGAGTTAATTTTTATGTTTGGTGTGGGAAAGTGATGTAATTTCATTCTTTTGCATGTGACTTTCACAGCACCATTTATTTTTCCTTTCTCCTTATGACTCTTCCCATAATTAACTCTATATAAATTTATTTCTGGGCTTTCAGTTCTTTCTATTGGTCTGTGAGTCAGTTTTTGATAAATAACATACTGTTTTTGATTATTACAGATTTGTAGTATAGTTTGAAGTCTGAAAGAGTGATTGCACCCCTCTTCCTTTTTATTTATTTATTTTTGATCAGGATTACTTTAGGACCTTTTGTGGTTCTATATGATCTTCAGTAATGTTTGTTCTAAATCTTTGAAGAATGCCATTGAAGTTAATGATAGTAATCGTGTTGAGTCTGTTTATTGCTTTAGGTAAGATGGCCATATTAACAAAGTTAATCCTTTCAATTCATGAGCAGACAATATCTTCCATTTCTTTTTTCATCTTCCATTTCTCATAACAATGTATTATAGTTTCATTGTACAGATTCTTTATCTCCTTTGTTAAGTTTGCTCCTGAGTGTATCATTCTTATTGCTGTGATTGTAAATGGGATTGTTTTCTTTCTCTTCTAGATTGTTGTTTGCATATAGGACCATAACTGATTTTTGCAATCTGACACTTTGCATACTGATTTATTATTTCAGTTAGTTTTCAGTGGAGTCCAAGGTTTTCTGTTTATCATATCATCTGAAGATGGTAGTAGTTTTTCTTTTTTCCCAGTTTGAATTCCTTTTATTTCTTTTGCTAGGACTTCTAACACTATGTTGAGTGGTACTAGTGAACTAATGAAAGTAGAAATAATGAAAGTTATGTACCAGATCTTATTATTTTGTGTGTGTGTGTGAGCCTAGATAAGAGATTTGTCTGTTTTGTTTATTAAGTATTGCCATATAGGTTTAGTACTGCTTTTGCTGTTTCTTATAGGTTCTGGTAGATTGTGTCCCTATTTCATTTGCATATAGGTATTTTTAAAATTTCTTCTTCTTAAATGATTTCCTCATTTAACCAGTAGTGATCCAGTAATTGCTTTCAATGTCCACATATTAGAGGTTTTTTTTTTTTTTGCTTCTTTTTGTCATTGAATTCTAGTTAGATACTATTATGATAAAAGAAGTTACTTGGTATGATTTCAGTCTTCATGAATTTATTGATACCTGCTTTTTGACCCAGTATATGGTCTGTCCTGGAGAAGAGCCTATGTGCCCTTGAGAAGAATTTAGCGTTTTTGGAGTACAGTGCCTTAACAGTGTCTTTTTAAGCCCAGGTGGTCTAGTTACTTTTAACTTTTGTATTGAGATAACTTTGGTTTACAGTGTTGTTTGTGTTTTAGAAGTATAGCATACCCCCTTTAGGTGTGGTTACTATACTGTACTAATCAACTCAAACTCCATAGTTTTAACTACCAGAGTTCATTATAACTCTACACTTACTAATTCTTTTTTAAGAGGCTATTATATCCTTATACTTTTTTTTTTGTCTCATTGACATGTCCATTGGTAAAAGTGGGCTGTTGCACTGTTACTATTGTTTTACTGCCAATGTCTGTTTTCAAATTTGATAATAATTACCTTAGTTATTTTGATGGTCCTTCATTTGGTGAATAAATTTTGATGAAAGTAATGAGTTGATGTATTGTTCCCTTACTGTATCGTGTGTCCATCCCTCTCTTGTTACCTTTTTTAGCTAAAATCTATTTGATCTGATGTAAGTATGGCTGTCCTTGCCTTTCTTTGGGTTCCGTTTGCTTGTACAATTCTTTTGTAGTTCTTTAATTTGAGCTTTTGTTTATTTTTATAATTCAGGTTTGTTTCCTGGGAAAGAAGAAATTTGGGTTTTGTTTTCCAATTCAGCTAGCCATTTTGTGCCTTTTGATTAGTGAGTCAATTCCATTTATATTTATGGTATAAATATAAATGATTTATGAGGCCCTCCTACTGCCATTTTTTGTTTAGTTTTTTAGGTTACCTTTTTCTTTTTTTTCCTGGGTATTTTTGTCATTGATTTAGAATTGAGAGCTCCTTTTAATATTTCTTGTAAGGGAGATCTAGTTTTGGAAAACTCGTTCAGATTCTGTTCTTTTATTCTCCCTCATATCTGAAGGAGAGTCTTGCAGAATACAGTATGCTTGTCTGACAGTTTTAAGTATTTTGAGTATATGATTCCATTTTTTCCTTGCCCTTAGTGTTTCTTTAAGAAGTTAGATTAAATGTGATGGGACATTCAGCTTCTTTTTCCGAGCCTTTCTTGAACTCATGAAAGTTTCACAATTATGTGTCTTGGTGTAGGTCTCATTACATTTAGGTGATGTTATTTTCACTTCATATAATTGTATATTTACTTCCTTCTCCAGGTTTGGGGAGTTTGCCTCTATTATTTCTTTGACTTTGCTCTGTGTTTCCTTTTCTCCCTCTCACTAGTGGGATGTACATTATTCTTGTAGTCCCTGTCCTCATGAAATTCAATCATTCTTGAGGTGTTTGTTTTTTTTTTTTAATTCATATTTCTTTCTTCTTCCATCTGGATCCTTTGTGTATTATCATCTGAGGGGTCACTGATTTCATCTTCCATTTGGTCTGTTACTTCTATAACTTTCTTTATAGTCTCTGTTGATCTTTTTACATCCTGTGTCTCCATTATTTTCATAAGTATCATTTTCTATCTTCTGTTAATTTTTATTTCTCAGGATATTCAGTTGTTTTTCTGACCTTTTGCTTTTGATCAGCTTTTCTGTGTTTTCTTCCATTTCTTTGAATTTCTTCATTAAGACAATTTTGAACTTTTGGTTTTGATAGGAAGAAAACATCTTGCACATCTTTATGGCTGGGTTTCAGATACTTATACCTTTTCTGGGGATTAATTTATTTGAGGACTAATGGTGCCATTTGTTGTAATTTTCCATATTCCCACTTTACATTGCTGTCTGCCAGAATGGTGTAGAACTTCCACTTTTCCAGCAGATGGCACTGTATGTTGAGGAAACTGATCTATAGCTGTTGGGTTGGGATGGGGGATGGACCTGAAGAAGTTTAATAATTGGTGAAAGCAGTTTGTAAGGGTGACTTGTGTTTGCTGTGCTGCTAAAAGCCCTCTTTTCTGCTTTTCCAGATTTGTATCTCTGTAGTCTCTAGGGTTGGTTTGTTAGCCTTTATTGGGCCAGTTTGAATCCAGAGGGGTGGGAGAGGTGAGCTGTATCCTGCACCCCCTGCCTTTACTGGGGCCCTTGCCCAGTTGGGACACCCAGACTCCTCTGCACTAATCTACCTCCATATTAATCAGCTCTCTCCTCCAAACATAGGGACACAGCTCTTAGATGAGCACTGCAGACTCCATCCCTTTGTTTGGAGTTGAATTTCCTCAGGGTTTATTCAGTTGTGGTCAGCATTTGTCTCCAGTTTCTAATAGGTACTTTAGTGTTGTACCAGGTATGGCACCCTTTTGGTTCAGTGCCCCGTGGGGTATTTTCAGATTGTCCATCCAGCAGCAAAGCAGAGAGTGTCTTCTGAAACCTGCTTCCATTTCCACCATTACATTTTTAACTCAGAAATTCACGATAAGCTGTCACTACATAAATCTGTTTTTCCTGTTTTGTTTTACCTATTTTTAATCCCTCTTTCATTAATATTTACTATTTACATAGAACCTAAGAAATCCTATAGTCAGTTTTGTATATTCCTTGTTAATGTTATGTTTCTACCTCTAGTTTTTTTGTTTTCTAAGAAATGTTCTGTCTTTATTGCATTTCTATTCTGCTTTTATTCTTTCCCCCCAAATAGTGGTAGTTTGTCTCACTTTGGAGTTACAGAAAAGTTGAATTTCTATTTGTTTCTAAGGCTATAATTTTATTTAAATAGGAATATTTTCCTTTGATATTAAAAGTCTATTTTGAATAGTTTTAGAAAAAGTAAGTATCAATTATGTAAATATCAAATAATGTTAATTCAAATTTCAGTGCAATGCGTGTTTTACTGTCTAAATTACCAAGACCATGGATTGTGGATGAGAAAAAAGATGATGGTTATACTGCTTTACATCTGGCTGCCCTTAATAATCATGTAGAAGTGGCTGAACTATTGGTACACCAGGTAGGAAAAACATTTTAATAACTTTTAACAAATTTGGATAATTGCCACTCATTCACTTATTACATTATCAGCTACTATTAATAGATTACAGTAAAACCAACATTGGTGCAGATTCAGTTGTGGTACATAGCTTAGTCTTCTGCTTAATTTTTTTTATAACAGTTTATTTTTACATCATTTTATACATTTTTTTTCCATTGTAATCTCCATGGGTTTCCCATCACCATGTCACATTTTTTTTTCTTTTTTTAGAGATTTATTTATCTATGCCTACAGAGCTGGGGTATAGACCAGAGGTGCAGGAGTGGTGAGAGGATACACCAGAGACAGAGTGGGGAGCAGAACAGGCAGATGGACGAAGTACACTGCTGAGGGGAACAGCAGGAGGGTCAGGAGAGGTCTGCCGCGCCATGTGGTCACCTCCACGGCTGGGGATGGAACTCATGCTGAAGTGGCTTTAGCTTCTCAGTGCTGTGCTTTAACCTGCTGTGCCACCAGGGAGGGCCCTGCCTAATTAAAAAAAAAAATTATTTATTTATGCACACAGAACTGGGGAACAGGCCAGAGGTGCTGGAGTGGTGAGAGGATCCACTAGAGACAGAATGGGGAGCAGAACAGGCAGACTGATGAAGTACACTGCTGAGGGGAGCAGTGGGTGAGACAGGAGAGGTCTGCTGTGCCATGTGGGTCACCTCCCTGGCAGGGGATTGTGCTGAACGTGTGCTGAAGCGGCTTCTGCCAGTTCTGTAGTGCTGTGCTTTAACTTGTGTCATCAGGGAGCATCCTGCCTAATATATTTTCCAAAGATTTATTTATTTATGCATACAAATGCAGAAGTGCAGGGGTTGAGAGGGTTCATCAGAGACAGAGTAGGGAGCAGAACAGGCAGATGGACTGAAATACATTGCTGAGAGGAGCAGTGGGTGAGAGAGGAGAGGAGTGCTGCAACATGTGGGTCTCCTCCTTAGTCAGGGCTTGACCTCATGCTGCAGTGGCTGCAGATAGCTTCATAGCACTGCACTTTAACCCCTTGTGCCACTAGGGAGGCTTCACATAAGTTTTTAAATGGAGGGAGGGGTATCTGTGTGTGTGTATGTCTTTCCCATTCTCCAGTCTACCCTCTGTACTGTTTTCCTGAGTTGATCCAATGATATGGAAATAGGGTTTCCTAGAACTCCTGACATTGTTGTGGAAGTATCAGTTAATCCAGGATTAAGAGTCATCATGTTTATATTTAAACCGATAGGCCAAATGCCATCAGGTACAGCCAGAATCTAGTGATTCAGCTCGTGACTACTGCTAGACCCTGGGTCCATGGCTGGATCAGCACAGGCATGTCTTAGTCATTTTATTCATCTCAGAGAGAAGATGACTGTATATTTTTATGTAAGATTAGATTTTATTTTTTAAAGATTTATTTATTTATGCATACAGAACTAGGGTACAGTCCAGAGGTGCGGGGGTGGTAAGAGGATTCACTAGAGATAGAGTGGGGAGTACAACAGGCAGTTTAACAAAGTACACTACTGAGGGGATCCTTGGGAGAGACAGGAGAGGTCTACTGCACTATTTGGGTTACCTCTGGAGCCAGGGATTGAACTCGCACTAAAGTGGCTATGGCCAGCTTCCAGTGTTGTTTTTTAACCTGCTGCACCACTGGGGAGGGCCAAGTTTGGATGTTTTGATGAAACTACTTAACTGTAGTATATGATATTACAGTGTTTATTGCAAAATTTGAAATATCTTGCTCAAACGTGTCACCAGAAAATTACCTCTGATTCTTGACTTGTAATCTAGTTAAAAAGATGACACAGCGAAAAACTTGTAGTAAATAGTACAAATCTGAATTATATACATTATGTATTATCAATAGATCATAAGATCAACACTTCCTAAACTATGGAAATTTAAAGAGTTCAAATTTTAAGCTTTTATTAAAATTACTGCTCTTAGAAGTATTGTTGTTTGTAATAATTTTTTTCATCCAAAGTCCAAGTAACTGACTTTAGTCATTTTCATATTATTGTTGCTTTATCCTAAGTCTTAAAATCAGAGTTCTCCAACTTTGTTGTTCTTTCTGAAAATTACTTTTTCTATATCTTTTGAATTTCTGTATGAATTTTAAAATTATTAGTTTCTATGAGTTTTCTTTTGTACATACTAGATTTATTTTTAAGTAGGTTATGTTGATGGTGTTGTAAATTATATTGTTTTTAAATTGAAAATTTCTTATATATATTAAGAGAAAAAAGTAGTAGTGTCCAGTGTTTTTTCTTTCTCATGAAGAGTTAGTTTTTTGTGTTCTTTACTACTGACAAATTTTAACTATGAAACTTCATTCTTTTTCTTCAGGGTAATGCAAACCTGGATATCCAGAATGTGAACCAACAAACTGCCTTACACCTTGCTGTTGAAAGGCAGCATACCCAGATTGTGAGGGTATGGTATTTACTAATATGAGTGTTTGCTTATAATATGCTTTAAGCTGGCAGGTTTCTTCAGCATCTCAGAATTTAAATGATATACTGTTTGATTTCTGAAGAGTCATATACTAAGATATAAAAATCAGCTTCTAGACTAATATTTTCTATCAGGAGTTCTAATATTTATTTTAAGAGTTTGTATTTAAGATGAGAAAATCTTAACAGTGATATTCAGTTCTATTTTGTTGCCAAATTTGTGAATACACACAGTATATCAGATAATTTCAGAATAATGTATTAGTTTGTAAAAAGTACTTTCCTTCTTATTTGTATATTTGAGAGCAGACTATAATAATTGTACATTTGCTGCATTGATTCCAGGCAATGAAATATATAGTTTTTCTGATCTGGAGATTGCAGACCAGATTTCTGGATTTTGTAGAATTATTTTACAGTTATTTTGTAGAAAGCCAGTGATTTTATGAGTCAGCAGCATTAGCATCACTTGGTGCTTGGTAGAGAAGTGAATTTTGGGCCTCACCTCATACTAAGTGAAAACCTCTGAGTGGGAACTCGCAATCTGTGGTTTGACTAGCCCTCTGGGTAATCCTGCTGTGTATTCAAATTTGAGAAATACTGATTTAGAATGACATTTTATGTGTAACCTTTTTGGAACAAAGGGGATAATTTGCCAAGACAAAGTGTGATCATTTGTTTGAGATTGGTTTTTGTATGGTATTTACCTAAAATTGGTAGCCTCTGTAGAAAGAATTAGGGAAGTTATTACAGCACTGTAAACAAAGTCTTGTGTGAATATACATCTACTGCTTAAATCACCTACTGACATGTTATCAGGCAGGCATTTCATGTAAGAGGTTGTTTTCTGACTAACACTTTACATTTATATGAAACTCTTGCAAAACATTTTTCATTTATCCCTGATATTTGGAATTTCCTCATGGCGAGATATTTGGAAAAAATTAACCAAAGAAAAGAAAACAAATAATAATGGTTGCTTGTTTGTTTTAATAGTGGAAGACTGTTGAACATTGCGATTTGGTCATATTGAAATTATCCAGATAGCCCACATATCTGAAATATAAAGGAGGAGAGTGTCCTAACTTGCCTTAGTTAACTTGATCTTAGAGTGGTGAATTTTCATTTCTTTCTGTTTTCTCTAATGCATTGTATTTAAATAACCAGCACTCATGGTCAAGTTATAAGGAACCATAGGGATATAGAAAAGTGGAAAGCAAATACATAAAAATAATTAATCTTAGTGGCAGCCCCTTCAGGTAGTCTAGGACACTTAATTGTTACTCTAGGTGATACTGTAATTTCTTGTGGGCATGGATACTTTTGCAAAATAAGATGTCTTTCTTTTGTAGCTTTTGGTCCGAGCAGGTGCCAAATTAGATATTCAGGATAAGGATGGGGATACTCCTTTGCATGAAGCTCTGAGACATCATACTTTATCTCAGCTACGGCAGCTCCAAGATATGCAAGATGTGGGGAAGGTGGATGCTGCCTGGGAGCCATCCAAAAACACAGTAAGTAAAGATAAAGCTTTAGTTCAGAATTGGCAGAAGCATCTTTTAATGTACAATCTTACATTTACAGTTAATTTAATCTGCATTTGATGAAAAATTTTTTTTCTCACCATGAGTTATTTGGTCTCTCCTTTATTTACTTTAGCCATTCATATATATGTGTGGTAGTATTTTGTGTCTGCTAAAACCTTTGTTGTTTATATTGTTGAGATGTTGAGCTTTGAGAGTTCTTTATGTAATTGTCATCCAAGTTCTTTATCAGATGTGTTGTATGCACACATTTTCCCCAGTCTGTAGCTTGTTTTTCATTCTTTTTAAAAATTTTTTTAACATCATCCTTCACTTTGTGCATTTTTTCATCTTAGTTGCAATCCCATGGGCTTCCTACCACCAATTCACCCATGTGCCATCACCACAGTCCAGTGCACTCTTCTCACCCCAGTTCCGATCCCATTTCCCCTCCCACCCCCATAAAATGTCTCTGGGTTATAGTTGTTCATGTTTTTACTCTACTACCTTTGTTTGTCTTTCTCTTTCTCTCTCTCTCTTTTTTTTTTTTTAAACCCCCTGATCCCTGATGCTCCTGCTATGAGTGAAACCATCTGGTATTTTTCTTTTTCTTTCTGGCTAATTTCACTAATCATGATCCCTTCCAGCTCCATCCATGTTGCTGCAAAAGGCATGAGTTTATCTTTTTTGATTGCTGATTAATATTCCCATTGTGTATATGTACCACATCTTTTTAATCCAGTCATCTACTTTTGGGCATTTGGGCTGCTTCCATGTTTTTCCAATTGTAAATAAAGCAGCAGTAAACATGGGGGTGCCGGTATCTTTTTCAATCAGTGTTTTTGTGTCTTTTGGGTAGATACCTAGGAGTGGGATTGCTGGGTCGTAGGGAAGCTCCATGTTTAGCAGTTTGAGGAACCTCTAAACAGTTTTCCATAGTGATCGTACTAGTTTGCATTCCCACCAGCAGTGCAGGAGAGTTCCTTTTTCTCCACATCCTTGCCAACATTTGTTGTTGCTAGTTGTTTGAAGATGTGCCATTCTCACTGGGGTGAGGTGGTATCTCCTTGTGGTTTTAATTAGCATCTCCCGTATTACAAGTGATGTTGAACATTTTTTCATATGCCTGCTGGCCATCTGCATCTATTCTTTGGAGAAGTGTCTTTTTAGCTCTTCTGCCCATTTTTTGATGGGGTTGTTCACTTTATTTTTGTTGAGTTTAATCAGATCTCTGTGTACCTTTGTGACCAGTCCTTTGTCATTAGTACTGTTTGCAATATTTTCTCCCAATCAGTGGGGTGTGCACCGTAGTGTTTTGTGTTGTGTCTCTTTTGCTGTACAGAAGCTCTTTGACTTGATGTAGTCCCAGCTATATATTCTTTCCTTCACTATCATTGCGTTGGGTGATGTATCTTTAAAGATATTATTAAGGTGATATCATGCAGAGTTTCACCTACTTTGTTTTTCATTCTCTTAATAATTTTTGGAAAAGCAGTTCTTAATTTTGATGAAGTCTAACTTATCAATATTATATATTTCTTATCAATACTTTCTTTCATTGTACTTTTAGTGTTCTGTTTGAGAAATTTTTGCCAAAGTCAAAGTCATTAAAGTTTTCTCCTATTTTGTATTAGAAGGTTATAAAGTTCTAGCTATTATATTTAGGTATATAATTCCTTGATTTTTATTTATAGTATGAGATACAAAGTACATTTTTTTTCTCATGGATATCCAGTTGTCCTAGCACTACTTGATGAAAGACTCTTTCTAATGACTTGCTTTTTCTAATGAATTACCTTTATCTGTAATCAATTAGGTATACATGTAAAGTCTTTCTTAAGATGGTATACGGTCTATTGATTTGTGTCTTTGCTTTTGTGATGCCAATCCCGCTGTCTTTAATTACTGTAGTTTTAAAATAAATGTTGAAATCAGGTAACTTTCTTCACCTTCTTTTTTCAAAGGTGTTTGACTATTCTGAGTCCTTCAAATTTCTTTATAAATTTTGAATCACTTTTAAGAATGTGAAGGGGTTTTGAGTCCAAAATGTTTGACAATTGCTGCCTTTCTGTATGACCATGGTTAATTCTTTAATTCTTTTATTCTTCACTTTTCTCTTTTAAAAAGAGCAGGGAGGAGAAAGTACCTCCATAACATTGTTATAAAGATTAAATGAGTTAATTCATGGAAAGTGTTTAAAGTAGTACTTGGTCCACTATAGATGCTCCATAATGTTAGAAATTAATGCCTTTTCACATGTTTGAATCAGTTACTCAGTCAATATTTATCATAACTTGATTTGTTTAATTCTTTGTTTCTTGACTTAATTTATAGGTATTGGTCCTTCCCTTTACATTTTCCCTCCCCTTTATAGTTTTTCAAATTGTCCTCCTCTTTCTGTTTTTTCCAGGGCCAAATAGAGTAGGAAAAAGTAGTATTTTCTGAGTATCTGTCAAGTCTTGTTCTTGAATCTTACTGATACTGACTTGAGGTCTGATTTTGGTCCTGTGTCATTCTTGAAGTGTCACATAGTTGGATAGATATTTGGCTAAATTGAGAACTCTTTATTCTACCTCTAAAACTGGAGAGTAGTTTGATTCTCCAACTATATGTCTAAGAACAATGGTGGTTGGAGGAAGGAAGAACAAACATTAAAGTCTACAACTCATAAGAGTCTACAACATGCAGACTATAAGTACTTCTTACATATGTATTATTATATATACTGCACACACAGTGGTAAGAATTGAAAATAGATTCTTAAAGGAAAACAATGACTTTTTATTTGATTGCAGTTAATAATGGGACTTGGTACTCAAGGGGCAGAGAAGAAGAGTGCAGCATCCATTGCCTGTTTCTTAGCTGCCAATGGTGCTGATCTTAGCATTCGAAATAAGAAAGGCCAATCACCTCTTGATCTGTGTCCTGATCCAAGTCTCTGCAAAGCACTGGCAAAGTGTCATAAAGAAAAAGTCAGGTTTGTATTATTTATTATCATAAAACTCAATATTCTGTATGTGAAAGTATCATGTGGTTTCATAATGGGAGTCTTGATTACTTGAAATTTTCTTTGACTTTTCCTTTGTCCTTGTATTGACTTTTCCTTCCTTAAATATTTCCTAAAGATAACATGTCTCTTATTCTGTTATATTTCTACCTTATTAAAATATATAATTTTTGCTTTATAATCCCAAGAAACTTTTCTAAATTTCTATAATACTGTTAGAGGGATTTATATAGAAAGAAAGATCTTTCTGGTAAAATTGATGTGACTAATGTTACCTGTATTCAAAATTTTAATAAACTTTTCCAAAACAGTTTATATGCTCACTAGTAGGTTTTATATCACACAAACTCTTAATAATTCTAGTACCCTGGAAGTGACTAAGAGGAACTCAGTAAGTGCTAATGAAGGACAGTGGAATAAATCAGTTCCTTAGGGTTTTCTTTAGAAATGATCATTTTATCTTTTCTAAACTATGTCAGTGATTTTAATTATTTATGAATTACTGAACTTCTTATTATGAGGTATTTTAGACATGCATTTATTCATACAATGGTACTGTGTAATTATCATTGCCCTTTATAACTGACTCTTATCATTGAACATGTCAGTATTGTGCTCTCTTGCCTCTCACAATTTATGTATATGATGAAATGACATCTGTTTGGGTTCATGCAGAGAGCTATGTCACAGGGAATTTAATGATATGAAGCATATATATTTCTTAAGGAGCACTTACATTACAAAAAGGAAGAATGCCTCAAAACATATTTATACAGGCACTATAGTTACTACAGTGATAACATTAATTCTGGAGTACAAGTAAAACCACTGTGTGTGTTTGCACATGCAAGCATATTCATGAATCCTAAAGATTGTGGTAGAACAGTATCCTTTTTCTGTTATTATAGATTTGATCATATATGTACATCTGTGATTTTTATCTATGCCTCTGTGTCTGCCTGTGATGTCTGTTTCTGTCTGTCTCTCTCTTTCTGTCTGCCTACCTACCTACCTAATCCATATAATCTATGCATTCTCTCCTTAAAGAAATGTCAAAGCATACTTTCTAAACTGACCTATCAGTGTGGACTCTGATGATGCTCATTTTGACTATAGTTAAGATAACTAACATGGGTTCTAGTCAAGATTTTTCTGTCATTCCTCTAACTTTCAATGCTGGTTTTATATCGTGAAATCAGGTTCTGAGGGAAAGAAAATGTGTTTATGTGAAATTTTTTAGTAAGTTTTTTTTTTCTCTCTCTCATTTCTTTGGAGAGTCATCCTTTTCCATTGGGTGAGGATTTGTTCAATTTGAATGTTGAATAGTAACAGAAATATGTAAAGATACAGAGATGTATATAAGAAGAAAAATATTCTATGTTTTATATAGAGATGATAAAATTTTATTTTTTAACCTAACCAAGGCTGTTTTTATGTTTACTGATAATGCTCTAGGTGTTTTTAAAAACAATTTTGTCATGAATTTGTACTAGAAATATTTTGATAGCTTAATTAGAAATATTTTCTTTTTATTAGTGGTCACGTGGGTTCTCGAAGTCCCTCTATGATTAGCAATGATTCTGAAACTTTAGAAGAGTGTATGGTGTGCTCAGATATGAAGAGAGATACTCTTTTTGGTCCATGTGGGCATATTGCTACCTGTTCTTTATGTTCTCCACGAGTCAAGAAATGCCTCATCTGTAAAGAACAGGTTCAATCCAGGACAAAGGTAATACATTTTTAATAAACCATTTTACAAAGTTTTTTTGAGGCTATTGTTAATGATAAATCAAAAAATATGATGTCGTATGTTTAATTTTTTTCCTAACAATGACTTAAAGTAGGAAAGTAATTACACAATTATCAAGAGACCAATGGTGAATTGTTGTTTAAATGTAAACTATAGTAGTTTAAAAAAAGTAACCTACTGTTTATTTTCAAACCCTTTATAATATAAATTCGTTTTTTACTTTGTGTTATAGTTAATTATACATTGCACCCTTTTTTGAGTTGCATAGGTGGTTTTCTATTGAATTCATCTTTGTGAAACATCTGTTAATTTTCTTCAGTAGAATGTCACACATTCTTTATTTGATTGTTTGTCATGGTGTTGTTTAATTTGTTTCTTTATCCTCTCTATGTGTTTTCCTGTAAACTGATAGTTAGATCTTATGACTTGATTAGGATCAGCTTAAATATTTCTGGCAGGAAAACTTCACAGATGATACAGTTTATTTTCTGTTATGTCCCACCAGTAGTCAGATAAAGTCTACTCATTCTGCAATTAGCAGTGGATAACTTTTGTATCCATTTCATTTTTTAATCTCACCTAACTCTGCTTTTTGAGAGGGTTTACTCTTCTCTGGATTTTTGGTTTCATTCTTATTCTATATAACTTTTTGCTTTATCCTTGACTGTACTGCCTTACTCATTTTGGTTTGCTGAAATAATTGATTTTCCTGTTTAGTTTTAAACAATGTGTGTGTGTGTATGCATGTATATGTAAAGTGAGATTTAAATTTCTTAATGATTTCTGTAAAGGTGAGTAGTTTAAATCACAAGATATGTTTGTTTCCTTTTGCCTCATTTACAAAGCTTATACTTTCCCCATTCATTTATTTTGGTTCTCTTCGAGTTTCTTATGAGTTTTATTATTTAGAAAGGAACTGGCATTAATTTTCCCTACATGTCTCATATGTCCTGTTGGTGATTATTACATTTTCACAAGGAACCTTCTAACACTATGTATTTTTGTGCTCCAAATGAATAAAATTTTTGACCTAAGAAGGGATTCACATTTTGGGGGTAGTAGAACTAGTACTGGTGTAACTGCTTTTAATCTGTTTGTGAAGATGAAGAGAATGAACTAAGAGCAATTTATTGTATGCCTAACACTCTATTGGCATTTTATATATTTTATTCTGGTGCCAATCCTACTTAATAAATGTGGGTCATTTAACTTGGGATTTACAGTTTGTTTTAGTTACCTGCTAACAATATAACAACTTGGAAAAGAATCTGAAAGAGTAACAATTTAAAACATTCTTTTATTTTTATATTGGCCTGTGTATTGTGCTTTTGTGCTAGAAACTTAATTAGATTCAGTCCTATTTCTGTAGTGAAGATAGAAATTACACATAGTAATTCCTTGCTAAAAATTTGTAATCTCTTTGCAAATTTGACTCAGGTTACAAGTTACTCTTGCATATGGATTTATAGGTACCTTAAGAGGGAGATAAGTAAGTTGAAAGGCCCTAATTGACAAAAGTAGATTCTCAAATGTGGAATGATCCTAATTGGTCAAGTAATATGTGCATAAGGAAAAGCTGAAGCTCAGTTAAATGCATTGACAGTTGGGTCTTCAACACAAGTCTTAATTATTAAGTATCTGTTTTTCCCACTGTATTAAGGTACACAGGCAAAATTAAAAGCAACTTCCTCTACAAGGGAAGTTAATGAAACAGGGGAAGGAAAGAAAGGAATATGCTGTCATTTCTAGATCACTTTTGAGTTCTTAGAATTAGCTTTCAACTTTGGTATTTTTAATTACAGAGTTTTCAAACCTGTAGAATAGTACAATAACTAACACAGCCGCCAAAGCTAATAGACTTGTCAGGTTGCTTGCAGTCTTTGAATGTAAAGAAATAGTGACCCCAAGTGGTTAAAGGATAATGAACATTCTCACTGAAGATACACAATAAAACTAGTATTTGGAGGGTAGTAGAATACACATGCTTGGAATTTTTTTTTTTTTTTAGCAATTAAGGAAATAGAGATAAATTGAATTATTATTAGCTATTCCTGTCCAAATAACAAAAATAAATTGAAAAAGTGCTAACCAGAAAAAAGTGAAACGGCATTTCCCATATGTGACTGGAGACTGAATAAATATGTGCATGTTTTTGAGAGAACAGCTATGCTGGCATTTTGTGTACAAACCTTTCCAATAAACATGGCTTGATTAAGTAATTCCATTCCTGGGAATATAACCAGAAAAATAAAAATGAAAAAGCTATGGTTACTAATAGGGAAATGGTTAAGTGTGGATAAATAAATCATTTTTAGATTTCTTTGCTAGATTATTTTACCTGTAGACAGTTCATATACATAGACAGTTATGTTGGGGATCATTTAAAAGTTAGCACATCATTATATAGAGATCAGTGTATTAAATGTTGATTTTATATTGGATCTCGAACTAAACAATATGCATAACATGTGATTTACTCTTTACCACTTTGTGAAGAAGATGTCTTCTTTGTCAGATTAATAAAAATGCCTCCCACTTAACAATGTTAGGTAATTTGTTGCTGTTGGAAAATTTGAATTCAAGAGCATACAGGTCTTGACTAACTATGTCTCTTTAGAGCTTTCTGCTGTTAACTATGTAAAATCTATGTGCTGGTAATGTTCTAGGAAAGAGAGCATCTATAAACATATGGTGAAGTTAAAGATGAATAGTGGTCATTATTTTCACCAGTAATATTAAATGACCCAAATACACAGATGAGTGAGAATGTGTGTCAGAAGAGAGAAGCATAGGTAGAAGGTAAATGTGAAGTCAAGGGTGCTGGGGCAGAGGCATAAAAGAACCAAGGTTAGTTAAGACACTCAAAAATCATTTTAAATGGGAATGAAGAGGAATTGAAACTGAGGGAAATTATGACTAGGCTGTGGAAGACTGTGGCTCTAACCAGTGAAGTTTAAAGTACTAGTTTAAACATTGCATTGGGTGGAGTTCCTTTGATGTGGAAAAAATAGTACAATGCCCCTTGAGTCTTAGAAGTCTGGCTAATCCAGTAAATTTTTGTTTATATTAGAAATCTACTTTATATTTATCATTTGTTTTTACTTTTCTCTAAAAACTTGTTTTTGAAAAACAGAAAATTGGTATTTGGTCCAGTTTTCTTGATTTGAGAGGAAAGGGAATTTTTCTCTATCATTATTTTGAACAGAAGGGGGGACTGAAGTAGAAATACAGCGTGGGAGCCAAGAGAGTAGAAGATAGAGAAGTGTGTGTTAAACTCTTGCTGTGCTTAGAGTGTTAAGAGGAAATATGTGTGATGCAAGAGGAACTGTTAGAATTAACTAGATTTATCTGTAGATGTTGACACTTTGTGTTGTACTTTTTTCCCCCCGTAGATTGAAGAATGTGTGGTATGCTCTGACAAGAAAGCAGCTGTTCTTTTTCAACCTTGCGGACACATGTGTGCTTGTGAGAGTACGTAGCCTATACAAAACTTCCTAGTGTTATAAAAATAGAAAATGAAACAAACTATATATTTGATTTTTTTTTTGATAATTCACAAACAAAAAATTGGGTGGGCTTCTAATTAATCTTCCATTTCTTTCTTTATACTCAATGTCCATATATCCCTTCTTGTTCCTGAAGATGGGCCCTTAGGCGGCAATGGGTTAAAGCTCAGCACTGCAAGTGAGCAGCAGCTGCTTCAGTGCAAGTTTGAGCCCCAGCCCAGGAGGTGATCCACATGAGAGGAGAGGCAGACCTCTCCTGAACCCATCTGCTGCTTTCCTCATCCTCAGCAGTGTACTTGTCAGTCTGCCTATTCTGCTCCCCATTCTGTCTATGGTGAATCCTCTCACCATCCCTACACCTCTGACTTGTACCCCTGTTCTGTATGCATAGATAAATACATGTTAAAAAACAAGACTGAAGGTGCTGTGTTCTACTAGCTTGAATTTTCATCTCATTTGTATTAGTACTAATGTTACAGGGCAACCCAAGGTGAACTGGGTTGCCTGTCTGGGTCCTCACCTGCACCCTTAAGATTTAATTGTACTGCAGCCACACACAAAAAGGGTCACTAATGGGTTTATTTACAAAGGGGAAAGGAAAAGGTACAGCCTAGGGAAAGAGAGAGAGATACAAGTTAACTAGCATCCAACCAGTTCCACTGACTTGGAACTCCAGTAACACTGAAAACTGATCAAGAGCCAAACAACCAGTCACCAGCCACGTGGTCCAGAGTAAGAGCGTCTAACATGGCTCCCTCAAAAATAGCCCCCAGAGTCCCAGAATGCCTGCTTAGCTCCAAACTTTGGTCCTCGCAGTTCTCCCCATGGTACTGCTGGGAGTTGTAGTTTCAGTGACTGGAATAGGGGGTGGAGTCCACAAAATTCTGCAGTCTTCCTTCAGGACATCATTTCCCCCTAACACTAAGTGATCTCACAGTAGAAATTATTTTCAAAAAATAAACATTTAAAATATTTACCGTAGCCTTTTTTCCCCACCTGTAAAGTTAGCACATCTTTAATATTGCTTTTCTGGTTTAGTTTTCCTTCTACAGAACCACACACAACAGCCATTTGTAGCTATAATTTCTAGTCTTCTTAACCTTGCTTAACCTCTGTGGAGCATTTATAGAAAACTTTTCTTTGTGAGAATAATATGGAGGTTTCTAAGAGATAATTAAAAATACATCTTAAATATATTTTCTTGAAGGCCTTTTCTTTTTATATCATATTCTTGTTCTTTTCAAGCCCATACACCATTCAATATTAATATTTTCCTTTTCCCTTTGTTTTTCACATTTGTCAATGAAGAGTTTTAAACAAGTGTAGCAGCTTACATCTTATAAATGTTCCCATGGTACATGGGAACATGGTATTTTCTATTATAAAATATTTAAGTAGGTGTTGATTTTTAATATTACATCTGAGTAAATTAATATATAAATGTATGATAGTTTAACTTCAGTGACATGGATTTTCGTTAAGCCTTGGTGTTTTTCCTTTCTATCTGGCAGTTCTTCAATTAAAGAAAGGATCAAGGTTTTCTACTCTAACATTCTGCCTTTGGTAACTGTTTCTGTTTACTGAAGATTAGTATATTGGCTGTTTTCCACTGTCAGAGGACACATAGAATTCTGTTTCAAATAAAAAGAATTTAGGTTCCTTAAGTTTTCAGATGCCAGGGGTTTCTGTGATGGGTCAAATAACAAATATTTTTGGTTTGGTGGGCCACATGGTTTTTGTAGTAACCACTTAACTCTTTCCAAGTACTCAACTCTGCATTTGTAGTAACAGCCACAAAGAATATGTAAACAAATGGACTGGACTGTTTTCCATTACAGCTTTATGTAAAAACAGGCTCCTGGTTGGATTTAGGCTATAGATTGTGATTTGTTGATCCCTGTCATAGACTAATGTGATATTTAAGAGACATGAAAACTGGTTGTAATCTGTGGTTGATAACACAAATTCTAGAGCCTTAATGTAATATTATTTCTAGGAGTTTTTGCATTGTTTTGCTTTTCAAAGTAAGAAACAAGTAACTTATTAACTTTGAATGTGTGTTTCCTCATTTATCTTTACAAAAACACTATGAAACAGTTCATTGTCTCTATTTTATACTTGGTTACACATTTATTTGCTAGGAAAGGTGATAACAACAATGAGAGATGGGCATAAGGGAAGGAGACTAGGTTTCTGTGTGTCCTCATAAACTTCAATTATGAGACTAAAGATAAGTATTGCTGTCAAGATGATAAAAAAATGTGGTCCCTACCTTTGGTCTTACAAGGAGCAGAACAAAGAAATCAAGCATAAATGGATTTGTAAGCTTACTGAAAGAAGTTGAAAATGTCCTTCTTTCAAGGAACATACAGTAAAGCATTTAGTCTAGTATCCACTAATGTTAAGCAGAGTATTGGAGCCTTGAAAGATTATAAAGTACTTTGGTCAAAGGAAAGAGATTACAGTAAGTCTTTACTCAATGATGAAAAGTAGAACTTTAAATCAATTTATAATGAAACTGGGTCCTCAAGTAATGTTTTGTTCAGTGTTGGTTTGGATTCATTTTCTTTTTCACCAGTTTTCTGATGAAATGGTGTTGGTTTAATGTTGTATGAGGACCTGTTCTATAATCCTTTTGTAGGGACCAAAGAAAGGGGTTATGGAAATAATGCAATAACCTAACAATTAAAAGAACTTAAGATGACTGTGGCTACTTATTACATACAGAGGCAATTAATCATTTAAATTTAAGAGAAAATTCTGTCTGTAAAGACAAATCCCAAACTAGATTTCTACTAATATTATTTCCTATCTAGTGTACCTTACATAGTCCAGCGTGAAACTCATAATATTAACCTTGACAATGATTCTGTTATAAGGTAGTACATAAGCTAAGATATGGAGTCTTTTTTCATAGTAAGTACTAACAGAAAGAATGTATGTGCAGGTGCTCTGTATTGCTTATGATTAATTGGCAACATTAGGTATAAGATAGCATTAATAGTCCACAACCTATAATTATGCCATGGTATTTCTTCTTTTTTTAAAAAAAAATTTATTTATTTGTGCATACAGAACTGGGTTATAGGCCAGAGGTGCAGGGGTGGGGAGCAGAACAGGCAGATCGAGAAAGTACACTGCTGAGGAGAGCAGCAGGCAGGTCAGGAGAGGTCTTTTGCTTGCGCCATGTGGGTCACCTCCGGGGCAGGGATCGAACTCTCACTGAAGCAGCCACAGGTTGGCTTAGCTTCGCAGTGCAGCACTCCAACCAGCTGCGCCACTATTAAGGGCCTGCTATTGTTCTTGAAATGAGAGTGAATTCTGCTAATCTACAGCTATTAGAAAGATAGTCTATTATGAAAAAAAAATGTATTTTTCTGATTGTACATTAAAAAGTAGTGACTGAGCAATTTCCTTATTAGGTTATATCAGTTTGATAGAGAAGGACTCAAATTGTTCAACATACTTTAGGAATTTTAGAGTTAAGTCATTTACAACAGAAAGTATTGTTGACAAAATATCATGTGAGCAACCTTATAATTCTAGTATTTGTTGAAATTATCAAAATTTGAGATCTTGAATTATTTATTATGCTACTTGTTTAAGAAAACAGAAACCCCGTTTCAGAATTTATTGTAATATATTAGAAAATGTATTGTTTTCACAAGTATGTACTCTATTCTAGAGGCTACCAATAGAAAATACACATCTAGAGTTGATAACATCTTAAGAGAAAGAATTGTGTCTTCACATAACTTGTTTAATATTTAATTTCACATTTAAGTTCTAAAATGAGCAGAGGGATGTAGCCTTTTATTCATGTCCTCTCTAATGAGAAGTGCCCTGCTGCTATTTTCCAGACTGTGCTAGCCTGATGAAAAAGTGTGTGCAGTGCCGGGCAGTAGTTGAACGAAGAGTACCTTTTATTATGTGTTGTGGAGGGAAAAGTTCAGAAGATGCCAGTGATGACATCTGTAAGTAGATTTTCTTAAGCATTTTTTTACCTTGTTCTCTTGTTGGAATTTCTATGACAATCTCTTCCCATTTATAGTTCACTGTTCCTTATAAGGCATAAGGTAAATGAGTATATAGAACAATAGGTGTGGTTTTCTGGTATTCTTGTCATGTTACAAGAAACCTGAAATTACATTTTTCTGATTCATGAAGTGATTATAGAACTTTAAACATCAATCTGTTGACAGTCTCTTTGTATGACATAAAGAATACTGTTGTATTCTTGTTTGAAGAAAATTTGATCTTTTTAAGAGAAAGTGTAATGTATTTGGGGGGAGACAGCATATTACAGTTATATTTTCAGTTTATACAAATATTAAACTGATTACATGCTAGGCTTACCTGGTGCACTTAGTTACTTTTTGGAATAGTAACTAACTATAGATATAAGGTATAAATAAAACAAGTAGGAAGATAAATAAGTCACTTACCTTTTCAGTAGTACAGCCATGTGAAAATATTTTTCATCTTTGCATGAGATATTACTTCGATGATCTCTTTGATTTCTTTATTTTGTGAGTAGTTAAGAAAGAACTTTTGTATAGTCTGTCCAGGGTTTTTGTCATAGTACTGGTAGAGCGGAGTAACAACCCCAGAGAAAATTAACTAGATTAAAAGATCAAGAATCTGAAAGTGGAGAAAGGAAGAAAGGATCTGGAAGAATAGTGAGTTAAAATTCCCTTCCATTTTGCAGACCACAGATAATGGCCATTTTTTCCTGAAGTTCCTCATCTCAAATGAGTAACAACAATGAGAGATGGGCATAAGGGGAGGAGACCAGGTTTCTGTGTGTTCTCATAAACTTCAATTAAGAAACTAAACATAAGTATTGCTGTCAAGATGATAAAAAAAATGTGGTCCCTACCTTTGGTCTTATAAGAAGCAGAACAAAGAAATCAAGCATAAATGGACCTGTGAGCTTACTGAAAGAAGCAAGTAGAGCCTTAGAAAATTAGAAACAGCTGTAGATTAGGTATTGCTGAATTAAATATGATTAGAAATTAATCTGCCAATCTTTTTTGAAGAATATAAGTGAAGAAATATAAGATGAATGTTACTGCTGTATATTTTGTTCCAAGTATGAAAAATACTTTTTAAAGGAAATTCAGATAGCGGTGAGTTTCTAATAAAGCAGTAATAACTTTGGAAATAAAAGTCATTGTTGTGTCAAAACAGTCATAATACTTTTATCTGTATTTTAGCAAGTGGAACTATTCCAGTGTTACAAAAGGACAAGGATAATACCAATGTCAATGCTGATGTGCAAAAGTTGCAGCAACAATTACAGGACATCAAAGAGCAGGTAATAGTGATTATTTCATGGTAAACATGATTCTAACAATGACACTCAGTAGTTTCAATAAACTACTATTGTTTTCTGTAAAAGCGTGGTTCACATTAATATATCTCTTATTATATTTAAATGTATGTCATGGATAATATCTGATTAGAAGTTTTAATCAGGCAGTTTCCAAAATAGGAAACACATAACCAACCAATAAACATGAAAAATGCTCAACCATGTTAATAATTGGGAAATTAAAATTAAACTACAATGAATTGCCTTTTCTCACTTGTTTGAGATGAAAAAAACTGTTAAGAACTTTCCATATGAAGTGTTAGAATCTGTAGCATCCATAATTCATACACTACTGTGGGAAAGTAAATTACTACACTTTGTGAAAACTTGTCATCATCTAGTAAAACGATAGCAGGATATTGTTTGGATATATACTTGTACAAAAATTTAATACCTATAAAAATTAAAGGCAAGCTACGATTTTGTTGGTCTGTCATGGGCTGTGTGGAAAGGGGGTATGAGGGAAGTTTTGAGAGTACTGATACTCTATTTTTTATCTGTGTCCTGATTACGTGTGTTTGATCAGTTTGTGAACTTTTATTATACAGAACATTTTGAGCAAATTTCTGTATAGATGCGGTACTTCAGTAAAAAAGGGAAAACGCAAAAACAACTATGTAGATACACAACACACACCCCCATTCATACATACATCATAAAGACAAGCAAGTTAAATGCAAAATTCAGAATTTGTGGTTATCAGTGAGGAGTTAGTTATATGGAAAGGACAGTGGAGGATGTTTGACTTAAAAGAAAGAGTAGCATTCCATGCTTTAAACTTGTATTATAGTGTTCATGTTTTATACATACCAACAGAAGTATTCTTTTATACTTATTCAACATTTAATAAAAGCAACAATAAAATAGTTAGTCAAAACTTGTAGTTATATGGTAAAATTTTTTTTATTTGGTTTTGTTTTCCCGCACCATTTGACCCAACAATTAAATTTGCTTTAAAGAATTGACAAAAATATGTATTCTTTTTTTTCAAACAGCCAGATACATAAAAGGTTTTATTAATCCTCTCATAAAAAATGCACAATCACCACAGATACAGATAAAGTCGCTGCACAATCTTTACCTCTTCTGTTGTCCAGTCTCTACTCACTGCTAGACACTTCATTTATTTTTGCTAGCACCAACATTGGCCTTTGCATTCCCCCTGACTTTCTTCATTCTGTTCTTGAGTTCCTTTCACTGTTTTCTTGAGGTCTTTTTTCTTCTCAGACAGGCCATGTTTTGTTTTTACAAGTCTTGCAAGTCTATATTGGAGTTCCATTTTTCTTTGCATAATCCAAGGAATCATAAACTATGCCAAAGCTAGTTGTATTGCCACCTCCAAAATGGGTTCTGAATTCAAATGCAAAGATCACATCAGGGATTGTCTTATACATTTTCACTATTTTCTCCCAACTTGCAGTCTCAGGCACTGTAACCTAAGAAGGACATTAATGATTATTTGTTTCCATTGAAATAGTCAGCGGGTCATGAATTTCCTAGTCTGGATAGTTACCATGTCATTCACGATGGTGGTAGATCTGGAGGCAGCAAGGGAGGAAAAGAAAAATATATTTTCTTTAGGTTGTCAATCAACATCAGTGCTGTCACCCATGCAGTCAGTAGTCATCACCTTTTCTATTTGAAATGAAAGACAGTAGCATAATCAATATACTGACCCAGGATAACTAATTAGTTTACCTTCTGATAAACTAATATAGAATTTAATATATATATACTAGGAATTTAAACAACCATCTAAATGGATAAGAAATATATGATTTAGCTTGTTTTTTTTTTTTTAATCTAGCCAACAAGTAATACTAGTTGTATAATGAATATAGATTTACAACTTCTCAATATAGGACCATTAATATAGGAACATATTTAGCTTCTATAAATTCTTCTTTAAAATGTTTTTCAAATTTGGAGACTCCTTAGAATCTTGATTGCCTTTCCATAGACTTATACAGGAAGTTAAAAGTGATTTTGCACATATCTTCTGTTGAAAGCATTGTGAGTTAAAATTTTTTATATAATGAATGGCAACACATTTTTCAACTCTATTATGGATTGTTAAAGAATAACTCAGCTCTAACTTTATACCAAAGTTCAGCATTTCAAAGAAGCTTCTTTTCATAATATTCATCACCATATTTTATTACTAAAGTATTTAAACAGTTACAACAAATCTAATTTTCAGAAGAGTAATGGGATTTTTTATTAGGGACCCTTTCAAAGTTACTACAAATAAAGCAGAGAGAAATTTTATCTGAGTAACTCTTTTTATTAGAAATCTACAGTTTTCCTCCTTTTCCTGTACTTCCTTAATAGACAAAAATTAATTTTATGTGTAACTTAACCCAAGCTGCACAGATGTGTTTGCTTTTGAAAGTAAGAGTTATTAATTAACTATATAGTTTTTGAAAATTAATGGAAAATAAACTATTTTAATGACTGTAGAAGGCTGGTTTGGCTTTTTAAAATTAAAAAATTAAGATTTGTAAAGAAAGCTTTACTTCTTAAAACTTTAAGATACATAAATGTGAAAATTTGGAGGAAGGATGGGATTAACAGACTTAAGTAGACTTAAATCGCAATAAAAATATTTTCAAAAGTATATTTTCACATAATAAAAAGGAAATATATTTAATTGAATTTATAATCTGGAGGACATATTAGTGAGATCAAAAAATATACTTTGATGATATTATAGTTTAGTCAAGACTTTTCAAAGAGCCAAAGAAAGAATCTCCAAGGCAGTGGAAACAAGCCCTCCCCCCTTTTTCTTTTCTTTTTTCTACAATAGTCGCAGGTATTGTCAAATTGGGTATAACTATATTTTCATAAGTGCTTAAGGCTTGGTATTTATTAGTGTAGACATACTTGCTTAGTTATTTTGTTTGTATATTTTTAAAGAAATTTGTGATTCATTTTGAGATAGCCGGGTAAAATGTTTTTATAAATAGAAAATGCGTTTTTGGAAATGAATGTGACCTTATAGGTATGTTTTCACAGAAAAGGATACTTAATGTACTTTTAAACTCTTCATCTTATTACTATGTAATTAAAGTTAATTATTTTTAGCTAGTGGGATCTACATTGATAGTAATCCCATAGTAGTTTAAAGACAAGAGCTCTAGGGCCTTTTCATATTGTTTACTTTGGGAAATTTTTAATTCCATTAGGCCCCAGATTTTTTGAAGTGGGAGTTACGATCATGCTGTGAGTGTATCCTGCCAATCATAGTGCCTGGTTCTTAGTAACAGCTCATTGCTGTCTCTTTGGTAGACTTTGGTACACACTGTGTTATTTTTATAGAAGATCAGCATAATACCTAAAGTTGGGGAATCGCTATGGGGCTGTTTTCATCCATTATCTGTTATTTTTTGGTGTTACATTTTGTGTTTTATAGTTTTTATTTTATGTAGTTTTAAATACTGTCTTGACAATGCAACCAGTATTTTCTGTTTTCTATCAGTATGATATTTTAATTTTTTTAAATTTTAAGTAAATTTAAAAAATGATTTGAATAAAATAACAAAATTGTGTAACAAAATTGCTGCATCACACTTTCAGCTATAAAGTATCTCAGCATTTGTTACTTTGTTATATCACATTACAGACAATGTGCCCTGTGTGTTTGGATCGTCTGAAGAATATGATTTTTCTCTGTGGCCATGGAACATGCCAGCTCTGTGGAGACCGGATGAGTGAATGTCCTATTTGTCGAAAAGCTATTGAAAGAAGGATTCTTTTGTATTAACTAAGAAACTCATTGTGTTTTGTTGTCTGAAATATTTGGTCATGAGATTTAGTAAGCTTTTAAGCTAGTTGGAGGTTCTAAGGAATTAATTTTTCTATCATTTGTTTTTACTAGTCTAATTAGACTATAAGTGTACCAGAACAAAAAAAAATCCTACAAAACAGTGTTGAAAGCCATGTTTCTTTCTTTTTAATTTGCAACATCAAATCCATGTAATTCACAGGCTAAGGGAAAATACTTTAAGCATCTCCTGTTATTTTTGTTTTTATTGCATTTTCACTGATAATTTATATTTGTTAGACCTTAGAAGACACACTTTCTTATGACCAACTATTCTTCAGTTTATGTTGATTTCACAAAATAAGTTGACATAGGCACTCAGAATGTTAAACACCAAATGAAAGCAGCAAGTCAAATTATTATGCCACATATATTAAATGGTAGAATTATAGAATAAAGTCTACATAGTTATGGGAATTTTGAAGCGAGGATTCTTTTTTAAGATAACATTAAGCAGTCCTACTGATTGTTCTGAAATCTTAAGAGTAAATGAAAACATAGAATGAAAGAACAATGACTTTGCATTTAGCTTATTTTCTAGATTTAAAAGGAACATTGTTTAAGCTGAATTAAATTGTCACTTTCAAAATGGCTAATAGACTTGAAAAATAAGTTCATAGTAGGGAACTGAAGGGGAAAAAGTATCCAATTATTGACCATTAACAGTTGCCTTTCTTTGATTTATAAATTATTTTGTTCAGCCACTTAAAAAAATCTGTGAAAAGTAAACCTCAGTTTTCTCAGTGGTTACTTATTCAGACTTACTCTGACCAGTCAAATGTTATTGCCCTGTTTGAGCCTCTGAGGTTCAATTTAGCTTTTTTCATGTTCTGAATTGTACCCTAGTAAGCTGAGAAGGATAAGACATTGTTCAAAGATAGCCATGTTTTCTTTTCCATTTCTATTAATTCTGGTAGTGTAACTGGTTCTGTCTTCATCATAGGCCTTATTCTTCCATTTTCTCAGATACAAAGCTTACTATCAAGGAAACAATCTTTCTTTATACCTAAGATGAGAATATTATTTAAACTGCCATCAAAATCGAAAACATAGTAAATGACCAAATATAAATAATTTAGGAGTGACCAGGACATTTACAGAAATATGTCTAATTACTTGTAGGTTTTTTTTTTTAACTCAAGCTTTGACTTAGCATGTCTAATAATTTTCTCTTTTGAATGAGCAATCTTACTACATCTATGATAAACATACATTTAAATAAGTGTTTTGGGGTTCATTGCTGCTAGATAATAAAAGTATTAACTGTTTACTGCTAGATAATAAAAGTATTAACTGTTTACAGTAGCGACTACCATATACTGTGTATAAGCTTACTCCTAAGGATATCTTTTCTGTAGCTTTTCTTACCACCCCCACAGGCCCCCACCTTTTAAATCTGGTTATTTCTGGTTTTTGTGCTTCAACACTAAATTTGAAAGTACGAAGTCTCTAGACCTCAGGTAGTTTATTTCTGGCTATTTGATGGCTCCTTCTTTTTGCAAGTGCTGGTGAAAATATTGATGAGCTTTGCTGGCTGATTATGTAGTTTTGGCAATTCCATGTTTGTGTTTAGCTGAGTAACATTTAGAACAGTAAAATTTTTATAACTTTTAAATTTGAAACTTTGTATTAACTATTAAGTTAGTAATAAAGGGCCACTGAGGCTGTTTTTTAAGCCATATTTTAAAGTTATGGGCAAAAAATCTGACGATATTCACATAAAGAAATAAGCAGATTATTTTCTTTCAGAATTAAAGACAGTTCATGTCAGGATTTTCCTTTTGTTTTCATGCGATAGACCATCCATCTCTTTTCCCATTAAATCATTGATAAGGAGTAAACACGTGGCTGACTGATGGCATAGTTTGGCCAACCAAAGAATCATATGGTCTAGAGCTCTACTTAAATGCATTTAATTTGTTTTCTAGGTTGTTGTGCTCAAATGTATAACCCCTTAATGTCAGTTTTATCTTCCAGACTCATTTATTTCCTCCATATAAAAAAATATAATAATTTATAAACCATTCAAAAGTTAAAAAGTTGCTCTATGATGCTATATTTGTCTGTTTTCTGTTTCACCACTTTGAAATTTGTTTAATACTGTTATTTGTATTCATATTTTCAAATATCTGGAAAAATATTTTAAATTTATTTGACTTTGTAAGAATAAGACGAAGACCTTAGGTCTTTAGGTGTCTTTCCTCTAACTGCTGAACAATGAACCTTCTACCTCTTATATGTCTCTCAACAATATTTTCCCAATTAGCTATGTTTCCTTCTCACTCTCTCTTTATCCTGTGCCTGAAGGACTTTGTAGTTTCCCTAGAGTCATTTAAGAAAGAAAATGGACATGCATTCATTTAAAGTTGTCCTTACCGGGCTTCAGGAGCTAGATATATAGCATATAGAGATGTATGGCTAACATCTTTGTGTGCACAGAATCTATCACAAAATTTGTGTTTGAAATAATTTGTAGTCAAAGGATCTAAAGGTACTGATAACAATTCTTACTAATGTTTCATAAAAGTTGTTATTAAGTAGTATTTTGATTCTTTCTGTATCCACTCACTTCAACCACATTTTCTGCTCTGTTCTTCTAAGATTGTCAGCTTTGTTTCCCAAAACACACAACTTACCTGATGGTGCTATGCTGTTCATTTTTTGTTCACATAATTTAACATTCTAACTACTTATACTGTACACACATTTAATTTCATTGGGAGCAAGAAGGCTGATTTTCAGAGAAGATTGTTTTTCTATTAGTGTAGAAATATATTAGACAAGTAGTTAGTTTAGTTGACCAATTTATGTTTGGTTAAGATACTGGTAATTTTAAACATTTCAAATTAACGACCTAGCTGCTAAGGTGTACAATTAATTGATAATGTTGAAAACAACTTTCTTAAATGTATCTCTTTGATGACTTTAGCCTGTAAGAACAGTTTAGCATATGGAAATGCATGCTACCTAAAATTTGTTCAATTCAGATTATAAAGCTTGCTGGGTCATTTTTACATGATAGGGGTGTATTGTCCTCACATGTGATACCCAGTTACTGTCTTTGGCTTTTACGAATTCTAGATCTTTTGGATTAGGAATTAAATTTGCAAAGCAAATTAGTGATGGCATATAATTGGAGAGTAGTAGGGAGTTGCAACAGTAGGAAAAAGAAGTCAGTGTTTGAGTGTAGAAACAAAATGAGATCATGTAGATTTTATTAAAGCAGCAAGTAGAGGATATTTAATAATTGAATGATAAAGATCTTTCAGCCATATTTTGGCAGAATTGAATTGACAGTTACTTTGTAAGTGATAGGTTTTAATACAGCTTGCTTTAACATCCAAAAAGAAAAGCATTTTCCTCTCAGTGTCTAAAATATTTTATACTAACTTCTGTAAAAATTGAATTATTGGAATAGAAGATTTTTTGCATTTTTATTATGGTAAAAATATACAATATGAAATTTACTATCATAAACATTTTTAAGTGTGCAGCTAATAGTGTTAAGTATATTTACAACATTGTGAAACAGATAGCCAGAACTTTCTCACTTTGCTAAACTGAAGTTCTATACCCATTAAGCAATTACTTCCCTTTCTCTTCCCCCTACTAGAATAGAATGTTGATAAAATTTAAATAAAGAAACACCTGAATTATCTTAATAGTTTGTTCACATTAGTAACATCTGAAGTTACTGCCAGTAAACATCAGATTCCTAAAATTTGAGAGATAATTTCTTTTCTCCCTCCCAGTTATTAGCAACCATAATGGAGTAAGGCTTGAATGTGTGTTTACTGGAAGAATTTGTTATTTCCTTTTGAACCAGAGGGGAGAAACATTTTAAATATTAGAATTATGTTTGATTTGAATTTGTACTAAATTGGGAAGGTAATAGATACTCAAAAATGATGTATGCCTTACTGAAAATGTTACTTGTCTTTAAGTCTACTCATAACAGTTTCCAAAGTATTTTTTTCACACTAAAGGCAACCTAATTTTATTTCTTGAATATTATGATAGGAATGTTTACTAATATACTTGATAATCATAGCTAATCTTGGAACATTACCATATACACATTAACTATAGCAGTATTAACTAAAGATATATTTCTTTAAAACATTTAATTTGAGGAAAAATGTTTCATGCTGTCTCCTATGTACATTGCTTTGCTAGAGTAAGAGGAAAAAGCCTTCAGAGTGAGCTTCAATTTATTGATGTATGGTAAGGAGTGGGTGAGACTGGAGTATAAAAATATGAATTAGCGAGTGGAGCTGCTGAATTAAAATTGCAAGTTGATATATTAGTGTTTTCAACCTCCTTTTCTATTGGAATATTACTTTTTCCAGCATTTATTCTTACTTGTGACAGAGGAGAAGATGCAAACCTGAAGTTTAAATTGAGAGGTTTATTTTTTGCAGATTTAAGCAGTAGATAGAGGAAAGGTGACTTGCCACATCAATTTGGTGCCTAAGTCCATAAGTACAAGCTATAATTGACATGTATAAAATGTGTAAGAAAGATAATATTGATGAATATTTTACATTTCCTGTATAGTCAATGTGATTTTGTTTCATAAACATGACTTCATTCCTCCAAAAAACAAAATGGTCTTGTAATTTTCTATAAGATAAACAAATGTGCCATTTTGTCCGAAACCTATAATTTCAGGAAGCTATTGAAAGTTCTGACTCAGGGCTTTTTAAAGTTTAAGCAATTGTTAATTTTATTTTGGAAAATCCATCTGCATATTCTTCAGTGCCTTGAAAGAATTATTAACTTGGCAACACTAATAAAACTTTATAGAAGGTGGTTTTAGCGCATGTGTGTCAGTATACACGTTTGCACATCATATTGCTTAGTGTGTATAATAGCGATACTCCATGTGTGCTGGGCTTGGGTAATTCTTTAAAGGGAGTTTTCTAGATATGCACTTGATATCTCCCCCCCCCACCTGACACTGATTATTATGGCCATGACACTGTTACCAGAAAAGTAATTCTATATTAAGGCATTATGCAAAGTCATGTATTAGTAGCAACTGGGAATTGGAGATAGGGTTCATCGTTTGCTATTTTAGTATGAAAAGAGATTTGTTTTATACATCATAGAGTGTCTTCCCCTCATATGACAAAAATACCTTTAAGTTAAAAATGTTTTTAAGGAAATTACAAATTGCATGTCATTTGGTAATACTAGTCTTAGACTAAATCCACAAAATTGTTTTTCTGTTAAGTTCAGTATGCTTGTGTCATTCTAAATATATAGTATATCCAGTGATAGAATGCAATTTAATTGATTCAGCAGTATTTTGCTTTGTATTTTAATTTTTTTTTTTTAGTTTTTACTTTATTAAAGTCTTGTTTGTGAATAGAGTTTCTGTATGGTAAATGATTATTGCGTACTAGCTTTTATCCTAAAAAGTGCTTAGCAAGAACTAAGCTTTTAAAAGTAAATATAAACATTTACTGTTAATAAAACCTGTGCCGTAATACTATATAGTACTTTTCTCTGATCTTTTGAGATTTCTCCTTATAGAAATATATGAGTTTTTGATTCTTGAGGTATTTGGAAACAAATCTTAATACATAAATCTTTTCTTGGAAAGGAATCGTTTTTGGGAAGCAAGGATGCACATTTCCAACTCATGTAAGACATAGGTACCCACAATTAGAAGGTGTTCACTGCAATTGCAATTGTTTACAATTTAAAGTACCTAAAGGGCCAAAGAAACTTTTCATATCTAACATCTCACACTCTTTCAACATTAAGATACATTGTATGGGCAGTCTGAGCGAGATAAATTTGGTAGAATCGAAGTCAGTCAGACAGACTCAACTTTTTTCTAAAGGGGGTTTTTATTCCTCTTCATAGCTCAGATGTAGATTTCAGATTCAAGAGGTATAAAGCAGTCGTATTTGACCTTTGTAGTGTTATGTGACTAAGTAGGTAAATGTATGGTTTAAGGGTTTATTTTTCAAGTTAATAGAAACTTATTTGATAAGTTATTGAGAGGTTGTCTAGTGCTAGGTCAAAAGTACTAAGTATGTGTATCTCAGATGCTTAAGAGGAAAACTATCTGAAAGAAAATTCTCATTGTTTATTTGAAAAAAGTATATGTATTCAAAATTGTGAATTTATTTTTGGATAACCTCTGTATTTTTGGGTTCATTTCAGTTGCTATATTATTAGATATTTCATGGCAATATTTTTTATTAAATTGAAACTGTATAGGTTTTTATAATAAAGGCATTTTAGAAAATCATAGTTTTTTATCATTGACAATTATTCACAGAAGCTAAATTTATTAGCCTTATAATGTTCTGTTTTCACTTATTGACAATGAAAATATTTAAATAGTACATTGCAAAATGATAGCGATTTAGAGATAGAATGAATGCATGGAATTAAAGCAGAGCATCAAAAATTAAATCAAACTAATTGCTAAAGAATGATCATTTGGCTAATAATTTTTACCCCTTTCTAACAAAACCAGTTGATAAGTCATTTTTAGTTTGTTTATATATATAAAAAATATATAAGCATAATATGAAAGGGTAAGATGAGATCAGAGACCAGCAGCCACTGAGTTAATGACTTATCTGTGAGACCTTTAGGCAAGAAGCCTTTTGCAGTAATGCTCTAGTCCTACATAATTGTTGGTGCTCCAGGGGTCTTTCATACCAGAGCCTCAGAGTCAGCTGTGGCAGCTCTTTGAAAGGTAGGTTTTCAAGTCAAATATTATTTATTTTTCATATATTTTAGAGTGGTACCCTTCTTTCCCTTCTGTTTATACAAAATGCCAATTTAGTATCTTGAGTGGAATGTTAACACAGTCGGGGGAAGAAACTTTTATGGTTATATTAACCCTGATTTTTATTAATTTTTAGTTTTATTTTCACATCATTGTTTATTTTTATATAATGTTTGATTTCTCCCCTCAAATGTAACCTCCATAAAATCCCCATCCCCAAATTACCTGTGAACTGTCACCAGTGTCTTGTGCTCTTCCCTTCTTCTTTGACCCTGCTCCCTCCCTCACCCCTACAGTATGCTTCTGTTCTATAGTCTGCCTGCAAAGTTTTTGTCTTGTCTTTTTTGACTCCTTGTTCAGTTTCCATATATTCCTCCAGTAAGTGAAACCATCTGATATTTTTATTTTTCCTCCTGACTTATTTCACTGAGCATTATCCCTTCCAGCTCCATCCATGTTATTGCCAATGGCATGAGTTTATCTTTTTTGGTTGCTGAGTAGTAATCTATTGTATATATGCACCACATCTTCTTGATCCAGTCATCTGTTTTGGAGCATTTAGGTTTTCCATATTTTAGCTATTGTAAATAGTGCTGCCCTGAACATAAGAGTGCAGGTTTCCTTTTGAATTAGTGTTTTTGTGTCCTTTGGGTAAATTCCTAGGAGTAGAATAGCTGATGGAAATACAAATCAAAATCAGTGAGAAATGCCATCCCATAGTAAGAATGGCCCACATTTAAAAATCTGACAACAACATGCTGGTGGAAATGTGAAGAAAAAGAAACCCTTTGATATTGCTGGTAGGAATGCAAACTGGTCCAGCCACTATGGAAAACTGTGTGGAGGTAACTAAAGTTACAACTGGATTAACCTTGATGTATTAAGAAAATACAGAAACAAATAGTCTTTGGCTACTGACGATGGCCATAATATACCTATGAAAGATTGAAGTTCAGGAAGATTCTGCTCATAATACATATGTTAGGGTACAGGGTTATTACATTAGTTTCCTATTGCAGCTGTAACAAATTGCCATAAATGTAGTGGCTTACAACAGAATTTATGACCTTTTCTCTTCAAGAGGTCAGAAGTCTGATGTGGGTCCCACTGGACTAATGTCAAGTTGTTGTCAAGGCTGTATACCTTTTAAAATGTTCTTGGGGAGAATCCATTTCCTTTCTCTAGTATATAGGTGCCCACATTTCTTGATTTATGATGTCTTCAGAATCAGCAATGACCATTGGAATCTTTGTAAAGAGAGAATGTTCTCAACAATGGAATTGGAGAAAATGGTTTCATTGGGAGGTTCATATGAATCCAAGATTAACAGAAGTGGGATATAGGCAGTTCCTTGTTTATGGATGTAGGATGACTCTCAAAGAAAACAAGTCGCTGAAAATTATGAATGTTTCTAGGTGAAAGTGTTAATAACAAACCAAATTTATAAAAATGCTGTATGTTGCATGTTGTTTCTTATTCATCTTCATAATAATTTTGCCATTACTAAGACTCAGTTGCCATCTATGTGTCTAGATTTTGTCGCTAAGATTTTTATTTCCAATTGCCTTTAGATGTATTTGAATAGATACTTCAAAGCTAATATCTCCCAACCTTAAATTGACTTATTTCCAGTATACCAATACTTTCCAATATATAAATAC